CTCCATATTTCACTTTAACTGATACATCGAACCATCAAGTTTTAACCCTGACACAACAGGATTTTTATTTTTTAGATGGCTGTTCAGATTTGTGGCCACGGACCGCAGATATTCGAGCTAAGATCTGATCTGGGAAACACTAGACAAAATGCCGACAGTTATTTTGTTGTACAATGGTGACATAAAAATTAAGAAAAGCTGAGGCTGAGCATTGTTTTTTTTTTTTTATTTCCTCATAGCATTGAAGATATGATTGACACATGTCGAATATATATAGAGTAATAGAGTTAGCCATCAATAGTTTATAATTTGAATAATTACTGTGCAGTGTTAAGGTACCCAAAACCATTTTTTTTTTTCAAATGTGACTGGTTGACAGAGGACGATTACTCCTCCATGGTACCTGATCCCACCTTTGATGTTTTTAGAGGTCAATGTTTGCTCTGCTCACAATGTGTATTGTTTCAGTGGACTTTTGAGTATGACTACTGTTCGTTATTTCCATATTTCATGTAATTTAAAATTTAATATTTACATTCGGTGCAATTTTCTTTATGAAATCAATTGGAAATCTACAACATTCAATACCCTACAACACACGCCTTGTCACTGTGTAGAATACACAGTAGGAACTCTATACATTTTCAATACTCTAGGAACATCAAAATGTACATTGTTTAGCTCATTTTAATTAAAAACAATTACCCTATTAAATTATTTTCAAAATCTTACAATTGTACATTTATAATTAATTTATCACTTTTTCCCCTCGCAATATTTATTTGCGATATTTAACTTTCCAACATCACAACGTGTCTTACGTCTATTATGCACGCCAGTTTTGAACGGAGCTAGATTCATTATAAAGATTATCGAAATTAACAATAAATTAGAGAGAAAATTAGAGAATGTAAAAATAAGCATTGGATTCTTATACCGCCGCTAACGCGCTTTATTCAATTTGTCGGCATGGCCAGGTGCTGTTGTTGGACCGACGACAATGCTTAAATGTGAGAGTTTTCCGAAGAAAAATCATTGAAACATATTTTTCGATATGAGTATTGATTCAATGTGATATGATCCGTAAGGCATGTTGCATATTGTATTCTAACTAAATCACTGTATTTACATATATTACATGGTCAATACATGTTTTTAACTTGGTTTCTCAAAAAAAAATTATCATAGTGCCAACACATTTATCGATAAATTATCACAAGCTGCAAGATTTTATACAAAAACAATATTTTATGTGAATACCTTATTTTGTAGACAATATTTAACAAACTTTTAAATAAATACATGTATACTCGTATATGTGAAAGGCGCCATATATCAATGTAAGAAATAACATGTATTCATATACTCTTAAAAGGAAATAGATATGTCCTTAATGTAAAATCATCTGTATTCTATAACATATTCATTGAGAAAAGAGCCCAAAGATGACTAGCAGAAAATTATTTGAGTGAATTGTTTGGTATTCCCAAACATTTATGGACTTATCTACTGCATGAAAATTACAAGAATGCCCGATTAACACATAGCGGAATTCAACTTTAAATTATCGCATAATTTATTAAACAATAACTTGAGTGTGAGCTAATGGAATCCAAATGTACAAAAATTTTGCGATAACTGTGGAGAAATAGCAAATATTTTTTATGCATGTCTTTTACATAACTGTAACGAATCAAAGTCTATATGGTTTAAGTTTAGCAGAACTAGTTTAAATTAAGTTTAATTGTCGGGTTTAAGATTAGTTGGAAACATGTTGTAATAGGCTTTTATGAAAATTCAGATTATATTAAGGGCATGAATATATTATTATCCTTTATTGCATTGAAAATTTTCAAATACAAGTCTGACACACCTGTTTCATATTTGGATATTTTACTTGAAAAAGACGTTAATGGTAATCTAACAACCAAACTTTATGATAAACGTGACGACTTTAACTTTTCAATCGTCAACTTCCCTTACTTATGCAGCAATATACCTTCATCGCCTGCATACGGGGTATATATCTCTCAGTTGATTCGATACACAAGAGCATGCTCTACGTATGTACAATTTCTAAAACGAGGTAAATTATTGACAAACAAGTTGATGAAACAAACTGTCTCGTTTAAAGTCATCATTTCGTAAGTTCTATGGTCGATACAATGACCTTGTCAGCAAATACAATATTGATTGAGTCAAATGCTGACTGACGTTTTTCATACAGATTGTTAGGCCATTATTTACACACTGAATTGTCGACGAATTTTTCCGTTATTTCCCGATCATGACAAGAAGCACACGGCGGGTGTGACCGGTCGGCAGGGGATGCTCACTCCTCCATGTCACCTGTTCCCACCTCTGATGTTTGGAGGACCGTGTTTGTTCTGCTCCTATTTTGTATTGTTTGATGGACTTTTGAGCCTGAATACTGTTCGTAATCTTCATATATTTCATACCAAAGTATGGAAAAAATCATTTCTGGCCTATAATGAGATAGAGATAGTAACTAAACCATCTTGAAGGAGACTAAAACTGCCAATTTCTTCCCAAATATGTTGCTTAAATCTATGTTACAATGTTTTCTATCTCACAACTGCTAAGCTATGACGTCTTAACTGCTCAAATGTGTTAAGAAAAGACAGAGGCAAAGGGAAAATCAAGGAAAATATAATAAACAGAAAATTCAATGTTTTGTAGATGAATATGGAATTTATTTCACTCATGAGACAGGATTTTTTTTTTTTATATTTTCATTCGTGTTTCGCACTCGTGAAAATATTTTTAAAAAATCCTGTCCCACTCGTGAAATAAATTCCATATCCAACTACAAAACATTGAATATCCTCTACATCTATCAGTAGCCTGCCTCTGTTTAAAAATTGATCGTATTCAAAGCATGCTCTTGAGTATCAAATAAATTGGGACACGTAAACACCATATGCAGGTGATAGAGGAATAAAACTACATACATAATGAAAGTTGACGACAAAATATCATGCTCAAATTGTAAGCAGAGCAAAAATGGACCTTTAAAAACATAAGAGGGGGATCAGGTGCAATAGAGGTGTTAGCATCCCCTGTCGATAGGCTAAGATCCCCTTTTGGCCCCTGGTTTGAGGTGTCTTTTAGAATGATGCCACAGTTTATCAATAAAATCCTGTTGTCATCCCTGTCTTTAAATGAGTATTGATTCTAACACAGAGGTCACAGGAAGGTCAGAAAATATGTCAATTTCCGAATTTTCTCATTTATTACGCGAATTTCCATCGATTTTACACCAAATTTTGTTTCAGAAAACATAGAGCACAAGCTTGCCTATCAACCAAATTTCTATATTTCATACACTAGTATCAGATGCATCTTCTGTATAAAAATCTCAGATAGGCAAGCTTGTGCTCTATGTTTCCCGAAGTGAAAAGTATCTCAAATTTGACAAATTTCCAACAGAATTGAGGAAATTCGGGAAAATGTCCTACTTCTGCACCCTCTAGTGGCCTTTGTTTAAGTTTTGAATCAAAATTAGTGCTTGTTTTAAAACAGGCGCATCGTTTTGAGTTCTTAACTACGAACTATCACAATTCTAACTGCGTTCTGATTTTTACATCAAATAAGGGGCCTATTTGGCCGTTACCATACCTTGTCCTTTCGTGGTCAATTCAGTTTGAAAATAATGTCCTAACAATGTGTAATAAAGACGTCAGTCAACATTCCACCTAGCGATAAATTGAATTTGCAAACAACGTCATTGTATCGACCAAAAAATTTGCATCTTGTATCATCAGCTTGTTTTCAGTAGCCTGCGTCGTTTTAGAAATTGTTCGTATACGTAGTGAATCAATTGTGAGACATAATCCACATATGCAGTTGATAATTTATATTGCTACATAAATAAGAGAAGAGATATCCGCTGTTATCTCAAATTAAATATATTATATGAGTAACATCAGAGTAAAGATAAATTAGGCAAGACTTAATTTCTCAAACAATACAACGATATCAACGTTTGGTATTAAATACATGTATGCATCAGTATGAAATACCATGGAGGTACATGTAATTTTAATTAACGTGAATTGTCATACATGTGAAAAAATTATACGGTTAATATTACATGGTTTAAAAGCGAGGTATATATCAAACCCTTGTACGTCAATCTAAACAATCATAGTTTATACATGTTTAATGAACCCAAGAAAAATATTTCGATATACTACTATTTTGTCATCGGAGACTCTTAAAAGATTATGCATGAATCTATGGTATTGTAAAATAAAAATTGACGATGAGTTTCATTATTCATATTCAATTCAAAAGAACACTCTGTAAATTTATCCACAAGATTTTCATGATTTCTGAGAGAGAGAAAAATCTTCCAAGCATTGCGCATTGTCAAATATTTGCATCTCTTATATAATATACAGCACTGTTCTCTGCAACTCTAAACATTTTTATGAGAATAACTATAAACGACATCATCGCTTTTCAAAGGGTGCCTGAACCAGTCTACGCCCTAAGAACGATAACTCTTACAATTTATGAAGCCTTTATTTTCGATTCTTCGCGTTTCTTTGAATTCTAATATAAGCAACAAGTAATACGGAAACTCTTCTTTTTTTTGCAATTGATTCAGAACAGGATGTAATATTATTCTTCAATAAAGCTATTTAATCTTTTAAAATGAAAGTAGAAATCTCGTTTATTTTTAACAATGGGGTTTTCTGGTCAACGCGGAAGCAAAAAGCTTAAAGAAGAAGAGATATTAAATCGTAAGTGTTTACGGTTTAGTTATATTTTAGTGAAATATGTCTGAAATTGTATGATAGCTGACAAAATCCCGTCATTAAATAAGAGGCAAATTAACACTAATTTTACCAGCGATATACCAGAGATATAATTGTATATATAAATAGTAACAATAAATCACACGTAATAAAAGATATAGATTATAAAAGTTAATCATTAAATTACACAGACATAATACATTGTTTTGTTTAATAGGAAAATGATATAAACGGATATTAAGTTGTATAACTTACATCACACGATCGGACAGTCATCTGCTTAACCAAAGTAATGGCATACCTGAGACGAGAAGCAGGGGGACCTCAGACCCCTATGACATTCTCTCAATTCATAAAGGAGACAGCTGAAAGAATCTTAGGTAGAGAGAAATGTTTGACAGTATCTGGGCTGACGATGGCCATCAAGAACGACCCCTGCTGTAAATATCTTCAGCTAAAACCGCTCAGCCTTCAGAAGATTCTACAGGGTTACTCGGAATCCTTCAGTCTTAAAGGATCACAAGAGGACCCGAATGTCTCACTTCACCTCAGCATCGATGTCTGTGACAATGTGAGGAACTGCCCTGGTTTTCCACAGTGTAAGGATCTCCATATTTGTAAATACTTCATGCTGGACAACTGCATTCATACGAAGAGAAAAACTAGAAAACCCTGTCCTTATCCGCATACACTGAGTTCAAAGCACAATAGGAAAGTTCTGCAGCATCATCATCTTCTGTATATGGACCTACCGACCATTAAGAAAATGATTCAGGAGGAATCTGGGGATAAGACACAGAGCACCTGCACCTCCCCCACGCATGAACATGTACCATTAAAGCTCTGTTATTACTACAACCGTCGAGCCTGCGAGAGAGAGAATTGTTCTTACCTTCACCTGTGTGAGTTCTTTGTTAAGGGCACGTGTAAGTTTGGAAGACGATGTAAAAAGAGCCATGACGTACATTCGCGCCAAGTTCAAGGTGAGTGTTAAATGTTGTCTCTCCTTTGGTTTTCAAGCGTAACCAAATCAGATATGAAGAACGTGATTTTTCATGTTTTTCGTCTTTCTAAATCTTATATATGTATCATTACCACAAAAAGAAATTCTGTCGGAAAATAACCTTGACCTGGATGGAGATGTGGAAGATATTCTGGAGAGCCTGCGGGAGGAGCTGTACGGGGGGAGTGTAGAGGAGGAGGAATCAGATGAAGAGGAGGACGAGGAACAGATAGAAGTGTATTCACAGCACTGTCCTCCCAGGAGGTACATTATTACAAATTGTAAAATCTTTATAATTTACTGTATTCAGATATTTGCAGGTGATGACTAGTTTTTGATAGGCTGCGTTCATAATAAGTTTGTAGTTTATTGAAAAGACAGATAACGAATTATTCCAGATTCAAAATCACTCCAACAACTTAACTTTTGATTGCTTGTGATACTAAACTGTTGTCTACTAACAATGATAATGTATACTTGTAGAAGCTACACAAACTTCAGAAGAGGAGATCGTCATTGAGGTGTGGACGGAGTTGTTCTGATACGAAACAAGATACACGTAAAAGGTATGTAAATGGTAAAGTATCTAAATATGTGAGGAAACCTGAAAGGTTTTGAAAATCTGCAAATTGTAATCCCTCAATGAAATTCAAAGAACTTAAAACTAGTGTTTCGTGTATTTTTTCTTGTCCATTCTGACCTATGATTGTGCTGTGTAAAAACGTTTGTTATTTTCATGTAGTCCTTTGCTTTCTTAAAACAGAAAAACCTAAATAAATATTTATATTCATGATTACTTCTGTAAGTGAAAAGGTGACAATAACGAAAAAATTATCGATCTCAGAAAACCATTAACCGGGCAAAAAGTATCTTATGTTTCCGTCTTGTTGGTTTTTAAGTGATTTAGCATTACAACAAAAAAATCATTTTGATCTCTTTCAGACAAAAAGAATATAAAAGAGAAGTCGTCAGGTCCGCATTCTGATTTGTGAAGAACAATTTTTAAAATGCAGAGTGAATTGTATTGATCTATCTAAAGATTTTTTGTTTACATTTTCATATACATGCAATTTTCTATAATATATCTCACAATTTTTATTTTAATTCAATGACAAGCACATTTCATGTATTGCATTCTTAAATCTTGAGCCTGACACCCTATGCCATTCCTATCTATAATAATTTTGTTTCTTAAACATTGCAAGATTCTTGGTAGGGGCGACTTCAGAGTTAATACGTGTTGACCCAAGCAATATTTGGTCATTTTGATGTTTTATGGTATGGTATTGACATATCTGACCTTGTCTGGCTCGTAAAATATTGAAAAATTGAAGAATGAAGAATATAGAAATTCCTTGTGGACAGAAAGCTTATGAGCTGTGTTAAGCTTCATCATTCAAGTCGGGAAGATTTCAGTTTTTAATGCTTAATTGAGTTCCAAGACTTTTACAGAGGCTCTGAAAGTCACTGCAGATGACTGAACGAGGTAATTTATCAGTCAACAACATGTGGTGGTACCGGTGAACATTATCTCTATTTCGTTCTTTATTTAACTTCAGTTCTACATGTACTTACTTCTTTACGTAAATTTCCATATTCGTATTCGATTTGTCTTTAAAACTTCATTATCTATTAATTAATTACTAGCCTCACTCTAGGCGGACTCAAACTCCCCTGGAAAATATCTTAGAATTAAAAAACTGTAAAGAAACACAACGCGAAGCATAAAACCTTTCAATAGTAGTGGCTGAATGCCAGACTACTACAAATGAAAAGAAAAGCAAAATAAAAGGACGAGTAGCATTGTAACTCAACATGATATGTTATTTAAAAAAGTACAAAGAAAAAAGTTTTTTATGGATTAGTTATATAGTTTATGTGTACAGAAGTCTAATATAAAAAAAAATATAATTCATCCTGGTGGATGCATACAATAGTCAAATAATGTAATGAGTACCTACAGTGGCTGCTATAGGACACGAATGGGAATTAATTAATTTCGTGGGAACGAATTTTATGTCGTGGGAACGAATTTTATTTCGTGAGATCGAAATTTAATTTAATTGGAATTAGCTCTTAAATAAAATTTGTAGGTCGTTGCACGTTCATCAAAGCAAAAAAATTGAGTTGATGGAAATGATGAAAGCACGGTATTCGATTTACAGATTTATGTGAAAAAATATAATAATAACTATCTCAACAAAATCAATGTGAAATCAACGAAAATATTAATAAAAAAGAACATGTAAATAAATTAATTGACCGTACAGCAATTGTTATTTGCATCTATGTATGTGCCATAATTTATATTTAAAGTGACAAGTAATCATTTTCAGCTTTTTTATTTTGATTTTATTTTTTATCTACATGTGTAAGTTATTGCATGAAAAAATAAATCTTGTAATCTTCTTATTGTTCTTTCGTGTGTTGTAAATATATCTAGGGGAAAATGTAAACTAGAACATAACGTAACTGCGTATATTTAGAAAGAGAAAATACTTGCTGACAAGTGAAAATCTTTACTTCTTAGCTAATGTCTAAGTAAAGCTAAGAAGTAGAAGGTCCATTGACTAAATATTGATACATAGCTGTCAGTATTAGATACAAGTCATGTATTTCAACCGTCCAATGAACTTTCATTTTAGACAGTCCAGTTACTTAATATTGATACTTCATAGTCAGTATTTGAAAGTTTTTAAAAAAGGTCTGTTTTAAACAGTCCAATGATAACATTGATACATTATTTATTAGACAGTCCAATGACTAAATATTAATTCAAGGTCAGTATTACCTGGTCCAATGACTAAATGTTTAGTTATCTGTCGGTATATAACAGTATAATAAGTAAATATAAATATTATTACAACAGTGTACATTAACTAAACATGAACATTGTTAGTATTTGAATTACCAATGGCTAAATTAGGCTAATATTATTTCACTGTCAGTTTTTGATGATACTGTTGAATATGTGTATATCATCTTACTACTACTGATTCAGTTTGGTAATCTATTTACATTTCATTAACATAAATGTCTAAACATTCATTCTCTGTCAATGCTTCCTCAGTACGTGTTTTTGTTGGAATATACCAAATACTGTCGACCTCTTTTTTTCAGGGAGGGGGGGATGATGGGATCATATTAAGGATTAAACATTCCAATATTCAATTGTTAGATCAGCAATTTTAATTAATTGGATTCAAAAAGATCCGATATTATGCAGTACTTACTAAATTCTGTGGAAAATGGGTCGTTTTATGACTGACATTTTCCCAAGTAATTGTAAGGCCATTGATTTTATACCAATTTGACGACAGAATAAAACTTTAATAATGAAGTTCTGAGGACCTGCAGATATAACTGTAATCTGTTATATCCTTGTAACAAATTCGTAAAGATATATTGTTTAAAAATCACACCATACATGAAAAGGGTGAAGATAACGAACAGTAACATCTCAGAAAACCTACCAACGATACAAATCTGTGCACAGGGCATGAAACAGGACCCCCCCCCTGGAAATTCCAGAGGTGGGATTAGATACGTAGGAGAAATATAAGCACCCCCTGTCGACTGGTCACACCCGCACGAGCCCTATGTATTGATAAGGTAGACTAAACAATCCGTAGTCAAATTGTCTAACAATTGGTACAAAATATGTCAGTCAAAATACTATTCAATGATAAGTTGTATTTGTATACAATGTCACCATAGAATTTACGAAATGCTGGCATTAAAAGAATGTTAAAATCCCTATAACATCAACTTATTTGTCAGTAGTCTGCTTCGGTTTAAAAATTGATCGGACTCAGATCATGCTCTTGAGCATCGAATAAGAGACATAAACACCAAATGCAGGTGACTGTTAAATATTTTTACATAGATAAGGGAAGTTGACGATGAAAAAGTTCTTGCGCAGTCGACTCTTTTACGAGATTTCGTGGAAATATCAGCCAGTTATTAATCAAGGAGTATGATTGGTTGGGCATACTACCCAAAAAGGTAATATACAAAATAAGTTAGGGATCTTATCATTCCACAAAAAATTAAGAAAATAGAATTTTTATGAAGACAAGCCTGCTTAAGTTAAAAAACAAACGTGTCATTCAGACGATTCTATTCATTTTTGTTGATTAGGTTTCTGAGTAGTCTTGGCCGTGAGTTTTTTTTTTAAAGGAAAGACGATGTGTTAAATACTTAGTGGCAGTGAGGGAACCATGAGATATTAATTTGGGTTTCCTGTAGTGAACATCAGGAAATTTCACTTTTAGGGGTCAAGGTTCGTGATTAAGTCAGAATTACGAGTCATATGAACATGGCGTTTTTCAAAGCAATAGGAATGCTGACAGCTAGGTATATTGCAGAAAGATTCAATTCCTCTCGAAGAGATATAATTCGTTTTTAGAACAAAACACTGAATGCAGAAGAAAAAAATTGAAATATGACCAAAGACAGGACGTTGAAAAAGTACAACAGCCCATAAATACCGTTATTTTGCCAATCTTGCAAAAAGGCAAGGTGCTGTGGAGCTGCATGAACACTGGTTGCAGGAGAACAACGAGAAGGCAGATTCCTATGTAGACACAGACTAACCAAGCGAATCTTAAGACTTGCTCGCCTGTCATACGCCCTGTATGAAAAGAATTCGACTGCAATGGGCGACAAAACACAGAAATAATGTCTCTAGTGCCAAATTCTCTTCTCAGATGAATTTCATTTTTTTTTTTTTTTTTTTTTTTTTTTTTTTTTTTTGGTAGAGTTTGTTGCATTTTTTGAGCGTGAGAGCTTTAGTGGTGTTCAGAGATGATTTGGGAAAAAAATAAGTTTAGACTACGAAATGAAATGTAAGAAAACGAAAAGTGATCAGGCTCGAAAGTCAGAGCAAAGCCAACGTGTGGTAAGACCAGGTGCCATGAAGAAGAAATTAAGTATCCCCTGTCGACAAGTCACTCCCACCGTGTGCTCGTCATGATCAGGTAAACGGAAAAATCCATAGTCAATTCAGTATGAAAACAATGGCCTAACAATTTGTATGAAAAAACGTCAGTCAACATTCGCGATTTGTATTTGCAAACAAAATCATTTTATCGTCCATAGAATTTGCTAATTATGTTGACTTAATTTGGACGATATTGTTGATATTAGTGTTTGAAACTCAATGTAGAATTAGCTAGACATGCAGGGTTGACAGCTAGTGAAAGTTGCCAAAACTCAACTATAGCCCGAGAAAATAAAAGTCTTAAATATAAATATGTTTTTAGCGATAATGTGAATGGGGCACGATCACCATAATTTCAATCCCGAATCCTTAGGTTGTTGGATTCTACCCCTTTGCTTGTTACATTAATATTTAGCTACCGATACTATTAGTTGATTTGAGAGACATTTACCAAATATATGAATTTTAATTCATGGCAAATTTAAACACGTCCAGGCGGGCGTTGATACGTGCAAATCTGTTCGTCCGCAGCAAAATTTGTGCGTCTCGGGCGGTCGGGCGCACGTTTATTTCAAACAGTGTAATAAATGATAGCCTTTTGTTATCAACTTCCTTGTCATTAGCCTGTCGACTTCGTTTTAGAAATTGAAAATACGTAGAACATGCTCTTATGTATCGAATCAACTGGGACCGAGGCATAAACTTCAGAAACTTCAGACGCAGTTGTGCAACAGTATATTCTATTTCTCAAGTTTTCGGTATAATATCATGACTTATATGTTGCAATAGCATTTCAAACGAAAATTAAATTTTAAGAAAACTTACTTTATATGGAAATTATTGAAACTACAAATTTCGGGACGCGTTTGATTGATACATCATAGCACTTTCATAAAGCAAACTTTATCCTTAATACTTAAAGGTCATATGAAACAATGCCCTGGGCATTTTGGGTTGTATACGGAAATGAGTTCATCTGAGCAACTTTAACAAGCCTGAAATTACATTTTGGATTTTTTATGCAAGTTAGCGGCAGCAGAGTCGATCAAAATTACTTGACTGCGAAAATGAACTTCAACTAGCGCGGCTTATTTCCCTTTGCTTATGACGTCAGTAAGACACACTCGCTACATTCAGTAATAACATTTATAAATACAACCGATCATGTCTTTTGCAGCGTAATTTTTAAGAAATATCATCATCTTGGCTAAAATATCGCATAAATATACGATGTTCAAACAAGATAGTATTTGTCTTTTAACATTCTATTGCATATTTGCAAGATTTTAGCATGTTTTATCTTTGTAATTTATTGTCGTCCTTCAACACTTCAATCGAGAGAGAGAGAGAGAAAAAAAACAGAGAGAAGGAGTCTGTACTAGAGCATGGCCGTAGGAACCGGGGGGACACGGGGGGGCCGTGCCCCCCAATAATTTTGCCGATATATAGATTACTATAGTAAACATAGATACTATAAGCATGTGCCCTCTCAATAAAACCGCCTGATGACCATTTTTTTTTTTTTTTTTTTTTTTTTTTTTTTTTTTTTTTTTTGCTTGTCAAGGAATATTTGGTAGTTGACGACCTTTTTTTTTTTTTTTTTTTTTTTTGCTTGTCAGAAAATTTTTAGTAGTTCCCCCTCAACTGTCAACTGAAAAATGTTTGGCTGTGCCCCCCCCCCAAACTGAAATTGCTTCCTACGGGCCTGGGGGTCGTAACATAAAGCTTGCTAAGTTTTTGACTTAAGTAGGGTCATAAGTATGTTTTAGGTGCAATCTTAAGACCTGCCTAAGTACTACTTAAGTATGTCTTAAACCGTAACATAAAACGGACTTAGGTAGGTCTTAGCTAAGTCAAACTTATGTTCAAAATATTTGTTATGAATCATCCTAGTTTTTCAATTCATTTATATATATATTTGTAAAAATGATTTAGTTACGTTTTTAATGACATATATATTAATGCTGATGTCCTTACCTATCGGATTTAGTTAGATTAATTTCGTATTTAATTAAAGTTAATTCTGTTTAAATTATTCGAAATACAATGTATTTGAAAACAAATATTGCACGGTCACAAAGTGGCACTAGTGGTTCATTGTAAATGCGTGAATATTGTTTATCACTCGAAACTGCGATGTTTTCAGTTTACCGTTTGTTGTTATTCTTTCGTTTGACAAATGTTCACTTGCTTTCAAATTGTCATTCTCGCAGACATGGCACGATAACCGAACGTCTATGTACTTGAAATTGAAACTCTAATAAAAAAAAAAAAGTGCAAAACAATAGGGACATTTTGAATTTTTTTCTCCATATCAGTAAGCAAAAACTGCAGACGTTTTATGATATACTTATTTACAATTCAATGAAGGATGGAAATTAAAGAATTGTTTTAAGAAAATAATTTTTCGTATATCTCCAACTTATCAACAATCTCTCTCTCTCTTTCTCTCTCTCTCTCTCTCTCTCTGGAACGTTAGTGAACGGTAGTGAACCCTGTCTGAATCCTCGCTTGTTGCGTTCTACATTCAATCTAATTTACAGAAAATCTTTATTTGTTTTCTAGTCATCATCATTTAATTCACCAACAATTTTTAAAATCATTTCATCTCATTTTTCAAAGTGAACAAACAAATCCATGATTGTTGTATACAAATTACTTTTATACTTTTATGATTAAAATTATACAATATACTTATAAAGATTAGTGTTTATAACCTAGGTCCCACTAATATTTCAAACGTACCCCCAAAATAATATTTTGCATTTAGATGTATATGTCATTTAGAGAGTGATATTGCAATCAGTGATGAATACCCCCACCCCACCCCCCCACCCCACCCCCCGACGAAAAACTATAATTCTTATACCAGTATATTAAATATAGAAAATTATTTTTTAATGCATAATATAAATTGAGGAATATTTTAACATAGAAAGTCAACGTTAAATAGTTCTAAATATATGTTTAAGAAAGTTAAGACATACGTAAGTCACCTCTACCGGCCGCCTAAGTTTTGCTAAGATTGTCAAATCTTAGCACGTTTCTAGTTACGGTCTTAAGTTTAAGACTGTACTTAAGTCCTACTTAAGCATGGTCTTAGACTTAAGTACCCTTTATGTTACGACCCCCTGTAGAGTAAGTGAATATAGACGCTGTCAAATAATTTACAATTGAATAAATTTCTAACACAAGAATATTGATGATTTGTTTTCTGATTAAAATTTATAAGTAAAGCTGAATTCGATTGACCGCGGTGTGTGAAAGTGAAACTAAACCTGCAAATAAATTATTTCATTTATTCACGGGAAATGAAATGATTCTATCGCTTTCTCGCTTTCCCCCTCTCTCAATCGCTTTCCTTTTTCTCTCTTTGGCTTTCCTTGTCTCGATGACTCTCTCTCTCTTCCCGTATATTTTTCTTACCAAAAAGTCAGTACATGTATACACATAACACTGTAACTATACTTAATATCGTAATAATTTTTAAAAAGTCAGACATCAAACACAATTCTATCTATGCAATTCTACTTTTCTGTGTGAATATATTTACAGACCGAATTGTTTAAATTTGTATCAGATTATTTCAACACAGAGTATATAGTCTGATATAAAAAAAAAAAAAAATGTTTAACTGTAAAAATATTAATTTTAAAAATTGTTCAGGTTCAATCGCGCAAATAATGGGGGGTATGCATTTTTTTAACTGATCAATTTATGCACGAACTGTATGAGTATTTTCAAACTGCAATTGCTCAGTCAAACTGTTAGAAGTATCAGTACCGTAACATTACAGTGCATGTATATACATGTACATGTATACATGTACGTGTACATACTCGCGATCGTGATGCCGGTAATTTTGCGCCATTTTTTTAAAAATCATGTTTCTTGTGACAGCAAAATTACGATGATTTCGTCATAAACCCCTATTTCTATATCGTTTTACATTAGTCCTCGTGTTTCAGATTGCAGAAAGCGTGCATTCAAATACGCCCACTTTTCATTGATCCATGTTCATCATGAACTTCAATATCCCTGTGTTTATTTGGGAATAAGGGGTACCCTTGAGCTGGATATTTTTCCCTCTCAATATATGACACAACTTTATTTTACAGATTTTGCATGCCCATTAAAATTTTTATTGTAAGAAGCTTCAGGTCAATGTTAATTAATTACGCTGTTTTTTGTTGTTAATTATACACTTTCACTAGGAATGAAAAAAACATCATGAATCATAAAGAAATAAGAAGATTTTTGTTTCTAAAGTACTAATTTAAAATAAGTAATCATAATTGTAGGAGAAAAATCTTGATTTCAACGGAATATTCATCAGGATCATCCTACGATGAAAAGCTCTCGTTTTCAGTTGTTGGCCTAATTAACGATTAGTTTAAATAGAGTAAATTGTACTTTAGAATCAGATAGCTCATCTAAAAACATAACCACATTTATATCCCCAAAAAATGACTAAAATTAACTCAATAAAATACGGTAAAATTACACTATATCTAATACGTTATTTACATCAATGGATCTTTGTGACGTCATAAAAACACAAAATCAAGAACGATAAGCGGGTAACAAATTTATTAAGTGGACAAATTTAGGCCTCCATTTTTCAGTTAAGCAAAGGCAAAATTAAGATTTTATACTAAACGTAATTTGACATTCTTTCATACAAGTCTTTATGTTTAAAAAGTAAAATCCTACTGTTTTGAACCGTTTCATATGACCTTTAAGAAAAGTAAAATTTTTGTTGTGTATTAATTAAATATATTCAAACTATTATCCAGAAAATTCAATAGTTTCTTTCCTTTATAACCAGGAAAGAAACTAAGTGACTGTATAGTTATGATGAACAAGAGCGCTTCTTCCAGAATTGTGAGTTCCATGGCCCCTGCGTTAGATGTTCTGGTGTAAGGGTGGGCTCTATTGATGATATAGGGAAAATGCATTAATTCTGTTAATGAGGTTCGCTCCTGAGCTTTTGAGCAGATTTTTGTTTTAACCTATATTTCAAAAATTCTGCATAATGTTTTAGTTCTTACAATAAATATGTTCTTCAAAGATCAAGGGAGGCCAATATGAGAGGTCACAATATAGGGTTAAAAAAGTACAGAAGAACTAATAGTTTGTTAATTGTCTGCATTGCGATAGTGATAAATGGGGATAGATTAGAATTTAATTTATGAGTTGTGACTGAATACTAGACTAATTATTTCATTGATCCGGATCATCCTATTTCTCTTGCTTTTGGGCAACAAAGCTTCATTTATCCGTTTATTTTATACTCTTTGGATCATCAAAATTGTTGCATTATACTCAGGTGACCATTAAGGCCCTTGGGCTTGTTGTCTATAAATAAAATCGGGTTCAAAATTCACTAAATAAAATCTGGCAGACGGTAACAAAGTAGTAACTGAGCAATTTAATATTTTGATGCAAAAAAGCATGGATTATTTTTTATGCTGTTAGAATGCTTACTGGCTACTATTGAGAGATACATGTACATGTATGACATTTTAACTTTGGTGCCCAGTGATGACAGGCTGACAATGCCAGTATGGTGAGGTATCTTGGACTTGATTATCTCGCTCTGGTGAGTTCTTCTTCTTTTCTTCTTCCTCTATCTGGCCGCCTTCGTCAAGTTGAAGATTTTGCCAGTTGGGTGTGCGCATGTTTGCATGATTAAAAGAAACTTTTTTTTGTTTGTTTGTTTGTTTGTTTTTTAAAAACTGGATAAAAGAAAGGATTATACAAGTTAGTCTTTCTTAGTCACTCGAGATTTGAAGATCTCGAGTGATTCTGCTGCCACGATGTCCTCAGGCAGGCTATTCCATTCTTTGACAGTTTTACAGATGAATGACCACTTTCTACAGTCCTTGGTTGCAGATGGTATTAGGGCTGGGACGATATATCGAGATATCGATAATATCGATTCAATGTGAGGATGATACGCATATCGATACGTATGAATAAATATCGACATATTTCCAAAAAAATTCTGACTAATGTTTTCTTTGTTAACTAAACATTTTGGGTTTAATATGTAAAATGAATATGCTTAATATAAATATGAATATGAAATACATAATAATTAAGATCAAAATAATTAAGTTTTACAACAGATATACAACTTCTTTGAATAAATTATTTGTATTTGTGAAGAAATATCTTATTCATTTCAATATAAAAAAAGAATTTATAACCAATTAAACATATCGTGATACATATCGTATCGTGGCTCAAATATCGGGATACGTATCGATATAGAAAAAGTTGTATCGTCCCAGCCCTAGATGGTATAGCAAGAGAGTGTTGTTTTGTGTGCCGCGATCTTCTTACAGGCTTAGTGAAGTGGTCCTCTGGTCTGATGGCTACTTTGTTGTTTATTATCTTATACATCATGATCAAGTTTGCATCTTTCCGTCTACTTCTTAAATTTTTCCATTCCAGATGTTTAATCATTTCTCCTACGCTAGATCTATTTCTATAATTTCCCATGACGTATCTTGCTGTTCTTCTTTGCACCTTTTCCAACATACCTATGTGGCCTTGTTGGTATGGGTCCCAAACTGTCGAAGCATATAGATAGTTTTCATATGACGTATTTTTTCTCCGAGTTATTTCCCTTGGCCGCCATCTTGGTGGTCAACCAGGTAATTTTTCATCTTTGTCTTACCAAATCTAAGAGGATGTAGCAGAAATATTTGGGGGAAAATCTTCATAGAATTAAAAAAATGAAATAAAGGATGCTTTAACAAATGTGTATTTTTCAGAAAAACAATGCTTCCTAGCCCACAATGGCCAGTATAAAAAGTTAAAGTTGGTTGAATAATGAAGGAATATGAGCATGTTGACATCCAATATGGCAGCCAATGGGAAATAACTCTTGCTAATTTGGGCCCACTGAAAACTATCTATTCCAGCTGCAGTCTTACCAGAGATATGTATGCATGCTCTCACCTTTATTGATCTGGATGATATATGGAGATTGCGTTGTAGAAATCCTAAAATTTTATTTGCCTTCTTACAGATATTTGAAATATGTATCCCCAATTTAGATTGGATGTTATTCATACCATCATGGTTACTTGCTTAATATCTACCTTATCAAAAGGTGTTAATAAAAAATGTACCGGATACATTCAACAATATCAGTAACCACTGAGTAACATTAGCATTAATTTGGAATCTATACATTGTATTCAATTTTACATGCATCTACTCTAGCGATAATTTTTAGTTAAAGCTGGAGAGGAGAAGATTGTTCAACCAAGCCTGTTTGTCCGTACCAGAGTCCTGTGATGAAGTTAACTCTGATCAATGTCTAAACAAAATCCAATCTCCATGGAGGGAAGGTAAAAGAGCTAGACTATAATTTAATGGTTGAAGATTCTTAAAGGGGCTGGGACACAGATTTGAAGCTCATTTTTTTCTAAAATTTTCTAAATAATATCATAACTTTTATGTTGCTATAGCATTTCACATAGAATATATTAAAAGCATGTTTAGAAAATTCTTTTCTCTAGAAATGATTAAAACTACAAATTTCAGAATGCATTTGATTGACACACATCCTTGCACTTTCACAAAGTAAATTTTATCCATGATATATGTACTTAAGAATAGTAGAAATTTTTGTTGTGTATTAATGAAAAATATGAAAACTGTAATCCAGAAGGTTCAGAGTAGAAATGCGAGAAAGCAAAACCAACTCACTAGTATTGTCAGTCCGTGCTCAGTGATGTGTGCAAAGTTTGACAAATTGAACACACCCGGTGAAACTTACACACTACATGTAACATTAACAGAGCTCATGCCCTGTTTACAAACACAGGTGTTTGACATGAAGTTATGAAGAATGTCATTTCATTCTTAGAATATTCATGTTAGTTCAAATCATTAAACTGAAGTTAAGTTTTAATAAAAATAGACATTTATAATCATGATAATTGTAAATAATGCAACTGTGTTCAGGCCCCTTCAACGGCTCAGTTTCAGGATGGTGTATTTTGTGTATTGTGTGTTCATCTGCTGAAATAAGCAGTTTTTAAAAATGTATTTCTATCTACATTAGAGTACTTTTTTCAGCAGTTTGCTATTTTAATTTTAATCATGGCTTTCAGGCAGACATAGAAGAACACAAAATACCCCATCCTGAAACAGAGCCCCCTTTGACTGAGTTTTGGAAAAAAAAGTTTAGATATTTTATGTATTCATTTTGTTGAAAACTTGTACAAAATTATCAATTTTTGAAAATTTGCTACTTGAGCATCAATACAACTGTACTCTAGTGTAATTATTTCAATTTTAGTATTATATTCAAAATTTACCAAATACAAGGATCGATCTAAAAGTTCATTGAATTTCTTTCTTTTTTTTTTTTTTTTTTTTTTTTGTGATGAGACAAAAACAAAAAAAATAGACATATCTATGAAAGAAAACCATTATGCAAATAAAGTGGAAAATTTCATCACATTCCAATTACTTTTAATTAAGGTCACACAGGTTTTCTTAAAATGGGCAGTTGTAAGGTCCAAGGGAGACTTTGACGTCATGTCCAATAAAGTACACATTCGGTCACATTAAATGTTGATGAGCAAATGAATTTTAAAAACATTCTCAGGATAGTCTCTGCCCATTTTTACACATTTCCTGTCATTTTACCCACCTATCAAATTTGCCTATATAAATACCAGTACTAAACTGCGAAACAATTCTACATACATGTATGTTTGTCCCACCTGTGTCAAACATAAAATGCATGGGTTGGGAATTTTCCCGAGATTTTAATAAAACTTAATAACCAACAGAATTTTGACTTTGTCTGACAATATGTCATGATAAACAACAAATCATTGATAGAATAACTAAATATCCACACAAAAAAATCAATAAAACTTTCACAAACCAATTTAATTATGAGAATTCAAGCAATCCTAATTAAGGTACTCCGTCCCTCAGGTGCAAAAAAATGAAGATGTATTTTTTACCATTATTATTCAACTTTTCTGCAGTACTTGTTATTATGATAAACAATTGATAATTAATTACCAGTGTATCCAGGAGATCTTATGAGATATTAATTGATCATTTCATATACAGTAAATAATAGAAAACAAAAAGAATTACCTATGTTTCAGCAGATTGTATTTGATATAATGTATTTTGACTTGTTTGCTGCATAAAATAATATCCACTGGGATGAAAGAATCATAAAAATAAAAACAAATAGCATTGCATCCAGTCAAGTATAAAAGCTAAGGAGAGAAATCATATTGACATAAATTTTCAGGATCAAGAGTTATCTCTCTTCAATGACTTTGGACACAGCAGTAATAATAGATGAGCGTTTAGTTATTCTTGGCTTTCCCTGAAAAGTCTCTGTAAATAAGCTTCGTATCCCATCATAGCCTCTTCTTTGATGTGCCATTTGAAGATGTTTGATAGCTAGTCCTGAAAAAGATATCTTCTTAAACATGCTTTCAGAAATAATATGATTTTTCAACTAATGGCATAAGAGTTTGTAGATTTTTTTTTGAAGTTTCCATCTGCTTTATGATATCGAGAATGTACATCATAGTAAAACTATACTGAAGGTAAAATGAGTCAATATTATGATGCTCAACAACTTTCTGAAGGTATCTACAGTCTTCAACTGCATCATGTGCACTAAAAGAGCACCCAAGAATATCCTTTACCAGAGTCTCCAAAGAAAAGTTCAGATGGGATCCAGATGCATGTTCTTTCAGCATTGGTAAGGTGTCACAAAACCCACAAATAATTCTTCCTTGTTCCTCTTTCCCACTATCCAGTACAGATCTACCAAAAATAAGGATGTCAAACTTCCTGGCATTGTGAGCGAACAACACTGGATGTTTCAAACCAGAAGTATTCAGCCAATCAAAGAATGATGACAGGCACATCTCTATAGAAACAGCTGGTAAAGCAGCACCATTCTTGTACAGCAATGTACCATCATAAGTCAGTCCTGTGATCTTTGATGCCATTGGATTGATGTTGACTGTTGGAAGAACATACTGGTTGAATTCAGTCTCTCCACACCTTGCTGCCAGTTGAACGATGTCAGCTGATAATCCTGAAAAATTGTGTGATATAAGGTGATACCATGGGCATTTCAGAAAAAAATATGTGACAAATCTTTACAAAAGTATGTGATATTTTTATAATTGGTATATTGAGCGTCGAAAAAATCTTTGAAACCACAGCTTCTCCAATGCCAGCATAGGTTAAATCTAAGAAAAAAAATTATACATGTATTCAAGCCATGCATGTGCTTATTGCTCTATTGTATTGCACTTACTGCTCTATTGTACTAAAAATATATTGTAGTACATATGTAAGCATATCTTTTACATCCTATTTTTGATGCTCTACCACTGAGCCAAGGGTAAATTCTCTTTTTCTTTTCTATATTATATAAGGAGTGCTGGTACTTGTACAGTGTTGTATGTTACAAAATTCTTGTATAATACATGTACCTATATGTAGCTATAATGACCAGCTTAGAAAATATATTTTACAGATAATTTGCAAAATACACATACGTTTAATCTTTTATAAAAATACTTACCAACAGCGAGTTTGGTGTTGATATCAAAAGGACCTTGGCCATTTTGACCTATATTGTGTCGTTTACCAGTTGGAATGATCGTCAGTTCGTTGCATTTCCAGCATCTTACATACAGTAAGCTAGCTAGTCCATAACGTCTCTCTTTCTCACAGTCAACAAGATCCAGAGATGCATGACATAGATAGCACCCTCTTTGCAAATGATCCACCAGAACAGAGAATTCAACAACTCTTCTGCCTTGAAACAGGTCAAATGTCTCTTTATTTTCATCGTTTTCATCTACCTGTACCAGTGGATCTTCATTGTTGACATCGCTGAAGTCAGGATCGTTGTTGTTTTCGTCGGTACACGTACTTATACTTTTAGTAGCAGTAGCTGAGGCTTTCTTGAATCGACCTTTCTTATTTCTTTCTCGTATACGATTTCCCTCCATTTCCATTTGTTTACATGCTATGACAACTTTTTTTTATTCTTTTTTGAAAGAAGAGTTCCAAAAATTGTAAATGCCGGAATTCATGATACGAATAAACTTTTTCCGGATGTTACGCGAGTTACCAAACATTGCTGAGGATTGGAGTTCCTTAAGTAATTATGGGGTCATTTTCATTTCATGTGACATTTAGCAATTTTTTTTAATTTCTCGAAGTGAGTATTTGGAATTGAAGTGATACATGTAATGAACAAATATTTGTATGTTCACGGCATTTGTAAACATCCGTTTCTATGGCAACTGCAAAAAGTCTTACTATCATGAAATTTTAATTTTTTTTAAAGAAAATCCAACAAGCTTATATACATATTCTATTTTCACATGCAATTTAATATTATTTCCATTAAGAAATTAAAAAAAAATACAAAGAAATTCCACAAACTTTTAAATCAATCCTCATACATGTATTTGGATCACTCCAACTGGAACAGGTTTATGTTTTTGGAGGAAATCAATTCCTTAGTAACTATAAATCTTAAGTGGACCAAACTTGTATGGATGATGCATCTATGGATGGACACTACGACTAGCATCAAATGGTGGATCAGCTGACCTAAATTTTCCCAGTCAGGGAATAGGCTAAAGTTTTTGGAGCAGGTATATTCCTAAGTAACTATTAGTTCTAAATAAACCAGACTTGCATGGATATTGATCTTGGGATGCATACTAACTTGAAAAAAAAATTTGTGTGAGATTTGCCTTACTTATGGATACATGTAACATCCTTTGAAGTATTAAAGCTTTGTAATCTTTGATAACCTATGTTTTTTGGTTTCATTTTGTGTTGAAGCAAAATTGGATACCACACTTTTGATGGGGGACTCCAATCCACCAGTAGACCAACTGTTCTCTGAACTTACATCACTCAAGTCATGTTGTCTGGAGCCTTATGGCAGAGAGGGACCCGGTGTGAGGACTTTCTCTTCACCCTATCCTGATGTTCAGAGGACAGAGGAGGAGATTCAGAGTGAGGACCTGGGTTATTTGGATGAGGACCTGATAGTGTATGGAGATGAGAACCTGATATTGTATGGAGATTTTGATTTGACAGACACTGGAGTCACTGAGGAAGAAGTGGCAAAGGAACTTTACACTGAAGAATTCCTCACTGAGGCAATTCATTCTGGTAATGTGTGATGTGAGAGTAATATCATGAATGTATACAATCTAGAAAAATATTGAAATGATTTAATTTTAATTTTCCTTGTTATTATAAAGAGCAGGAGAAATCAATGGAGACTATTTAAATTTGGTTTAAACTGATATGTGTCTTTAAACTACTTCAAACATGTAAGTACCTTTTACTCTTAAGAAAATTTAGAATATGATGCAAAAATAACAATTATAATTGCTGTAATAAAATGTGAGAGATCTTTTTTAAAAATAACAGTGTTTGAGAACAATTTTTCTTTTAATTTTAAAAAGTTTCAGATGATGTCTTTGAGGAGATAATTGTTGATATTGACCCTATTGCACCACACCTTGTCTCACCAGTGACACTGCTCAGGAGTCTACAGCCCCTCCCTCTACAGGACCCCCTGATACAGCCGAAGGAGGAGGAAAGGTGGGCTACCACTCTATCTATAGCATAGCTATCATCTAATGTGTAGTGATCTCCATTGGCTGAGTTAAAACTTCATATCTCAACATTGCAACCAGTTAATGATATCTATTCAGACTAGTACTGTACAACAATATCTATCTTTATAGAATTTAGTAGTGAAAAGAAGTATTCAATAAATAACCTTTCAAGCTGAGATTTTTTTAAAATTTTATAGTATATATATATATATATATATATATATATATATATATATATATATATATATATATAATTTGTTTGGGGGGGGGGGTTACAAATATTTGAGAGTTAGAGAAATAAATAGTTGAAAAAAAATATTAAGAAGAGTTATCATTCATGTAGAGTCCAACAAAATGTAAATTTTTGATACTGAAAAAATATCATATCTTATGTACTTAGTACATGTATTGGTAATACATGTAGTTAAATCTTATTTTATGTGACATAAAATTCAGATTAGGTTGATTGCAACTGTATTATTTTCTTTCAAATTTAATTAGATGTGATTTCCCTAAACACAGTACCTTGTATGACAAAAACCATAAATGTCCAGATGAACAATTCAGCAAAGTGGACCTGTATCAAGAAAACAGCATGGTAAAGTAAATGCATAGATAGACTTTTTGTGACTGGGAAAAGCAAAAGTGTTTTATGTTCGATATTTTTGGTTCCAAATTCATCATGTAGAAAGAATGTGTTCAATAGGAGGTTCCACTGGTTACACCTGAAGAGTTCACATACCAGGAGATATTTATATCAAGTCTTCATCAGTTTTCTCCACTTCCAACAGGTAAACAAAGACCACTGAACGAACAAAACAAACTTAAAAAGACTTGTATCTAGGGTGACATAATGCAAGTGGCACATAAACACAGCTAGAACAAACAAAACATGAAAACAAAATATAAAAATAGCTAAGATGGAATAGAAGGATGATTGTCAGCAAATAAAACATTACATACACTGAGGTCAAAACACAGAAGAGATGTAGAAAAGGGTTAGACAAAGTGCAAACAAAGGTTAGATAGAATATAGACAAAGTTTAGATAGAATATAGACAAAGGTAAGACAGAATATAGACAGAAGTTAGATAGAGTATAGACAAAGGTTAGGCAGAATATAGACAAATTTTAGATAGAATATAGACAAAAGTTAGACAGAATATAGACAAAGGTTAGACAGAATATAGACAAAGGTTAGACAGAATATCAACAGAGGTTAGATAGAATATAGACAAAGGTTAGACAGAATATAGACAAAGGTTACATAGAATATAGACAAAGGTTAGATAGAATATACAGACAAAGGTTAGATAGAATATAGACAAAGGTTAGAAAGAATATAGACTAAAGTTAGATAGAGTATAGACAAAGGTTAGATAGAATATAGACAAAGGTTAGACAGAATATACAGACAAAGGTTAGATAGAATATATACAAAGGTTAGACAGAATATAGACAAAGGTAAGACAGAATATAGACAAAGATTAGATAGAGTATAGACAAAGGTTAGATAGAATATAGACAAAGGTTAGACAGAATAAAGACAAAGGTTAGATGAGTATAGACAAAGATTAGATAGAATATGGACAAAGGATAAACAGAATATAGACAAAAATTAGATAGAATATAGACAAAGGTTAGACAGAATATAGACAAAGGTTAGATAGAATATAGACAAATTTTAGACAGAATATAGACAAAGGTTAGATAGAATATAGACAAATTTTAGACAGAATATAGACAAAGGTTAGATAGAGTATAGACAAAGGTTAGACAGTGCAAAAAAAGGTTAGACAAAATATAGACAAAGGTTAGATAGAATATAGACAAATGCTACACAGAATATGGACAAAAGTTAGACAGGTTTTCAGTATTAAATAACCACAAACTGAAGAGAATTTTATCTTTTAATTTTCTTGTTTCTTCTTGTTTAGATGAGTCTTTGGAGGATACCACAATAACAAATGAGGCAGAAGATAAGTCTATGTTAGAGGATCTAGTAGTGGACAGAAGGGACACTTGTTCTACCTCTCTAGAGCTTTCAAATGAACCATTTGAAATAAATCTGCAGTGTGATAGAGGTAACAACATTGTAGAATATAAATATTGGAAGTTTGACTTTTCTGCTTAGATTCATTATTTATGGAAACTCTACAGAATGATGACAGACTGTATTCTATTTTTTTCTTATAGAGATCATATGCCCTGGGACTGAGTTTTGCCTGGAGTCACCACTGCTACCAACAACACTGTGTGCAACCTTCCCCACCATAGGAAAACTTACACCCCTACCACTTACAAAGTAGGCATCCTCCACACTATAGGAAAACTTACACCCTACCACTCACAATGACTAGGTCCCTATTTACTTATAGGAAAAATTAGACCTCTACCACTCAAAAACTGTTTAAACTGTTCTTGTCAACCAAGTCATAATTATTACCCTCTTAAACATTTTAGACTTACCTCAGTGTGTCTTCTAAAAATAACAAATTAAATATTTTGTTTGACTATTTCAGGCTCAGACTCTAGACATACATGTCAAAAATCACATCACTTGACTTCATTATCTTTAGAGCAACCAAGCCATAGATAATGTGTTGTTTTTTTTTTTACTTATGATGCTTGTTACATTTAAAGATTGTTGTGCAAAATCAATATTTCATGAGTTGGATCCAAATGAATGCAAGATGGCAAACTTTAACATCAGTTATAATGAATACAGTGTGAAACATTCAGATCTTGTTTATTTAAGTGCATTGCCAGTTTAAGATGAATATTCATGCCAATATAATTTTTTTTAAGTATAGAACGTAATAGTATTGAATTCATTTTCTTAATCACAAAATTAGAATATCAAGGCTCAAGATTTTGATTTGATGCAATTTAAAAAAAAAATGTATACAAGTATGCCATGGCCAGTTCAGTAGGCTGCATGCTGGGATTGAAAGTCCTATAATATAAAGAAAGTAGATAAACTTCTGTGAGGCAGACTTTGCTTAACAGGGAACTACTGTGTTTTAGAATTTCAGATTTCATGTTACTGTCACCAGGGTCCTTGAACCACCAGCTGATACAGTCAGATGTCAACTTTGACCTCAGATGTGTAGAAAAATGTAGATTTTCTGGTAAGTTTGCTTATATGAGATGTTGTTCTTTTATTTTTAAATCATAGTGTATACATTCTTTATTTTAATGTTTACATGTATATTGATTGAAGTAATCAAGATGTAAAAACTTGTTGTAATTAGACTCTGAATTCTGATTATTTACTCAGAACCAGCGATGGAAAGAGTTGACTATCTCCACATGGAGAGACTACACAGAGAGTGGAGGGAGGTTGCTGTGCAGAAATGGAATGGGTGGAGAGTGGAGTTGAATCTGTCATGGAACATCCACCCTACACCTGAGGACAGAGTGGATCAGAATGAGGCAGTTATTAAGTACATGAATGAGAACAAACAAAGACATATAGGTATTAAACTTGTGAAACAAGAGGACTGTAAAAATCTAATTTTAAATAATATTAGTATTTGAAAATTATTTTCCAAATAATGACCAGAAATATTTTGTGCAGACATTTATTGTAATAAAGTTTTTGAATATTTAAATGTTTTAATGTGTAGCTGAATACTGAAAGGGAAAGAATCTTATTGATGACTTTTATTATAGATGACCTAGAGACATATTACATGAAAGAATTTATGGAGTTAGCTCCCTTGAATTTCTGCAATGTTTTGCATGAGGACTCAGAAATTTCAGGCACTGAGGATGCTGACAATAAATTGACACCTCTGGAGCACAACAGACTAATTGGTTGTATCAACCATTACAACAACCCCAAAAACAAACAAAACAAAGACAGAAAATCAAATGACTTGCTCATGGATTCCTTATTATATACAGTATCAAACAGAATAAAATATTGTGAAGATAACAATGAAAAAGATGAGTATCAGTCTCCAGTTCATACTGAAAATTGGTTACAGGAGAGCAGGACTGAAGTCCCATCAGTGGAAACACAAAACTTGGGGGGCACAAGGAGGTCATTGCAAAGAATCACAACACCTGTAACCTCCAAGTATGGGGAATGCATATCACCTGTGGCCAAGAGCATTGTGAAACTCAAAACACCTGTGACTGAGACCCTTAGAGGATGCAGAGGACCTATGGCCTGGACCACAGTGGGACTTGGAACACCTGTCGCTCAGAGCCCAGGAGTAAGATCAGTATCACCTGAAACCCAGAGCCCTAAAGAATACAGGACACTGAGGTCCCTACAGGATCCATTTATGGAATCTCCTCCACTCACCGGAATTGCTGTGAACAAGACACAAATTCAAAACGAGCAATGTATAGCAAACAAAGAAATTCAGAATCAGCCTATACAACATGTACAAAGTGTTGATGAATACTGCCATCAAAACACTGACCTTAATAGAACCCGCAGACCAGTGTCACTAAAACAGAGAAGTAAGCCAACAGATTCTGACAAGAGTATAAAAGATAGGCTGATTCCAGGACCAGTAAGCAGTGGGCTTAATTCAAATCAAACTTCTGGTGATTATCGATCAGTGAAAAGGGCTGACAGTCAACAGGCATCTGGAGCTGATATGTATCGCAGTCAAAGTGCACAGACCAGTACAATAGAGAAAAACTGTGCAGGTACACAGAATGATAGGAGAGGTGCAGAATCTAGTGATGCATTACAGAAAAGTCCCAAAACAAGACCACCAAAATCAAGGACTAAGTGTATAGCTTATCAATTAGAAGGTAAAAATTTCTTATACATTCTGCAATGTTTTTTATTAATGGGCTGAAGTTTATGTGCAATGGACTGAAATTTAAGCTACATGTTTATGTTTATCAATGCATACACAGTATCTTATTTTTAGGAGAATATGAACAAGTTGTCAGTCTGATTGCTGAATATGCATCCTTTTCCATCATGGCTTTGATGAACAGTGGTGACCTTGACAAATCTACAACATTCACCTCGCTGACCCATGACTTCACAAGATTCCTACTCAAAGAGGTCACCAGTCAACCACAGAAACCACAGTGTTAATATCTTTGTCATTCTAGTGTTGATTTAAAGTACAGTCAAGTTGAAAACTATATGTAAATACCACTGATACCTGCAAAGTTATGAAAATATTATTTATTATGTTTGAAACATGCAATTTATCAGCACTGGATTTTTAGATTTTGCTAAAAATAAAATATGCAACTTATTTCAAAAGTGTGCAAACCTAATACACAATAAAGTGCTGCAGGAATTGTTTTTTCACAGAAAAAAATAATCTGATTTTCCTCTTGTTTTCTTTGCTACAGTTGAAGAAAGATATCGTTCCTGCCTGGCATTACATACACTGTGTTGTGCTGTTGAGATGCTTGGGGTGGCATGTCTGGAGTCCTGTCTGGAACTATTGTCTATTATACAGGAAAAGTACAAGAATTGTCTTAAAGGTCAGAAAACAAACGGAATTGATGAAGAAAATTATGTCTTGTGGAAATGCAATTGTAAATTTGTAGCCATATTATTTCCATACTCCTTACTAAATGAGCACTTTTTAAGAGAAGTTCTAGTTAGAGACATATTTATATTCTTGTATCATAATGGAATATATTAATTTATTGCATGTCCAATCAATTACAGGCTGTTTAGAGACTCTTAGACAGAGATTGTTTTCTGTGAAACTGAGATTTGACCAGGAGAGAGTTCTGCACCCAAAGATTTACCATGTCTGCCTGTCTGTCCACAAAAAACTGACAGGAGAAGACACAGAGAGGCTCAGTCACACAAAGGTATTGATCAATTTGTCTCCACACATTTAAACACATATATAAGATCAAATGAAATAATGAAAATTGTATTTACTATTATATTAAGTACAGGGTGTCCCAGAATATATGATACCATTTCAAGATTCTGTAAAACCTAATGTAATGCATATTAAATCACAACAAATGCATTATAAAAATTGCATATACTGTCCAATTTTATTCACATAATTTGACAGTCATTAAAAAGAAACCAACAAAATGAGCTCACTTTGAAAAATGCTATGGTTTTTAAATGATGCCCTCTAAATGACGTTCTATCTGTGCAATGATAATCTCTTAGACATTGCACAAAGTTCCTTAACTTGAGACAACAGTGCCTGTCTCGGCAGTAATATCTGGATTTTCATCAGAGGTAAACCTTTTATATATGTTAAGGATTTTGGTTTGGGTTTAGCAGCAGTATCCTAAGACTAAAATTGATAATTAGAGTTTCAAAATGAGGGTGGCTAGCTCTTTTGATAATCCATTTTGATTGAAAATGCAGTTTTTTGCAAAAGTTTGATGTAAATTTGATATGTTGTAATTTCATAAGTGTGAGAATTTTTTTGGAATATTTTGTTGCTAAAAAATTGTACTTGTTATTTTTAGAGACATATATCATAGAAATTGGTCAAGGGATGGTTTTTTTCAGGTATTTCAAATGGTATCATATATTTTGGGACACCCTGTATATTTAATTATCAGTGCAACAGTCTTGGAATATAGGTATCTCTGATTAATCACTTGTTTGTTTTACATCATAATTAATGTATGAAAAAGTGATGCCCCCTTTCAAAGCTCAAATGGTTTGATCTTTTCAGTTGCAAACACTGGTGATTTTGAGTCAAAATATGGACAGTGTGCTTTACATCATAATTTATAAAAAAGAGTTGTCCCCCTTTTAATGCTTATGTCTTGTAGATACTGATGATTTTGAGTAAAGACTTGGACAGTTTGTTCAGCACTCTGGAGCTGAGTTTACAGAGAGTGGTCAAGGTCAAGGTTTGTGTGCAGAACACAGGAGACTGTCAGAGCATCCTAGACAAGTGAGTCCATGGCATGACTAGATCTATAGCATACTAAAGGACCCTCTGTACACTCCACGCTGTAGATTTCCAGTTCTGAAGTATTTTTAATGTATGCACTTAGAAATGATCCGTTTTTAGATCTTAAATCGAATTATCTGTCTTTAGATCTAAAATCGAATAATTTGAAATCTACGGTATATTACTCAGTTTGTAATCATTCAAGCTTTCTTAGCATTTAAGTAGATGATTAATTGAAAACTTTATTTGAATGTATATTTTTCCATTAAAGTAGACAACAGTGATCAATTGTTAGTGGATTTTCAAACATTTTACCTGAGAGTAAATGAATGATACCCTCCCTTGAATATAAAATAGTCAAACTTGATAATTAAACCATGATACAATAAAATTTTCTCAGTGTTTAGAAAGTCCTTTTTTTCATACATGATTGTGAATAAGAATTTCAATAAAAATGGAAACTGCAAAATATTGCAGTCATAATAGCTTAATGTAATTTATATACCTGTAAACTAATTGTGGCTGAAATTATATAAATTTTAGTTATTTTGACTGATATTTTTAATGGCCACTATGTGCAATCAAAGTTTTACATTCAGGGTTCATGTAGAAAAAAAAATCATTTTAAATCTTCTTCTCAAGAACAGCAGAGCCATCATCAGTCATATTTATATGGAAGCATCCTCAAATAGTGTAGATTTAAAATTTCTTCTAATCATGACCCGGGGGGGGGGGGGGGGGGGGATGGAGCCCAATTGGAGGTCAATGTTTTACATACTAGGAATACATAGAAAAAATCTTTTTCCCAGGAACAGCAAAGTCATGATTAGTTATATTTTTAAAGAAGCATCCTCAGGTAGTGCAGATTCAAGTTTATACAAATCATGACCCCAGGGTGGGGCTACAGTCCCTGAAACGTTCTACTTTCCCACTTGAACGGTGAGCGAACGCTGAACGAACGGTGAACGAACGCTGAACGAACGCAGAGCGAACGGTGAGTGAACGATGTGTGAACGCTGAACGCAACTTGGTGAACGATGTGTGAACGCTGAACGGTGAGCGAACGCAGAACGCGAACGGAGCGCAAACGCGAACGCAAAGTGAACGGTGAACGAACGGTGAACGCAAGATGAACGATATATTCGGAATGCCTCTGATCTTTTCCTTGCATTGAAACTATTTTATTGTATTATAATGTTAGGTGCAAAAATAAATAAATAAATAAATAAATAAATAAATAAATAAATAAATAAATAATAAATAGGTAAACCAATAAATGAATGAATAAAGAAGTCAATAAAATAAATTCTCCAAAATTGTCCTAAGAAAGACGATGCATGCACATTAAGTTTTTAATCACACGATTTTTATCGCATTAAAACATTGTAATTGTTGCCGAACGCTGAAGTATAAAAGATGTTTTTTTTAGTTGGAAAATAAAAATGTTTATTCTTATTTGATAACAAATCAGAGAAAACTTCTGACTTACAGAATGAATTAAAGCGGTTGTAACATCCATTCATATATCTCTGTGTCAAGGCGATTTCGTGTAAAGTAATGAAAAAAAAAATAATTACAAAGGTCAGTGGACGTTTTGCATTTATACGCTCGTATTTTAAATGTTTAATACAATAATATATTGTGTCATTTCTATTTTTCATGATGATTTATTGAGCAGACTTCTACATGTAATCTGTAGATGGCCGTGATTATACTCGGACAAGATAATACAAAGATGCATATTCATATTATTTGTTATATATTCAATTTTCAGAACTTGATATTTAAGTACTATGCTGTTATAGTGTTTATTAAACAGACAAATGAGAGAGAGAGAGAGAGAGAAAGAGATTCCGTTTTAGCCCCCCCCCCTCCTTTCACGCTTCACTAAATGTTTGTACCTATATCAAACAAAAACTCTGAATTTTTTTTCTAAATATATCAGACAGTGAAAGTAACTTTTTTTTAAATCAACAAATCATATCCATTTGTTTGACAGTCATACTCGTTTTTATTTTCCTGCTTGAAGTTCACACGAAGTCCACGTGCTTGTGCCGTCAATCAAAATCATTCGACACTGTGCAGGTGTGAAAGTTTCGTCACATCGAAGGCGAAGTGCGAATATTTCCAACAAGTTATAACATTTATTTTTATCATTCTAGATTTGATTCCAACATTTAAATAATAAATGAATAAAATACATTGGGCATTAACACTTGAATTTGAAACATACTCTCTGCCAATTTCAAATACCACCGCCGACACGTGTACATTTTGAACTACTATTGTTTTGTGACTTTTTTTAGATGCATGTTTGTTTTGGGACTGAAATTTTTGTTCTAAAAAAGACCTTAACTTTTTTTAAATGTTAATTAAAATATTCTGGAAATACAGTACTGTCTAAGTAACCGATTTAGGGGGAAAGGGGGGGGGGGGTATTAATCATATCGAATGGCAAACATTTAAAGTTACGGTGAAGAAAGAAATTTTTTCTCTATAACTATAAACTTAACATATTATAGTAGGGAAAATTCTGTAGTGCATTACATTTTAAATAAATATTTCCTTTAACCACACTATCAATTTCATTCGCTCCAAAGATAATAAATTAACAGGATATCCGCAGTACTATGTATAACTCTCAGAACTAGTTCTATAATATTTTCTATAGTAATTGAAAAAAAAGGGTGTTAGAAATAAATATTTTCGTAATTTTGCTGCGTAATTATTTTACTTGGATAATTATATCACAAACATTTAATTTAACAAAACAACAAATTGTTGCAGCGCTTGAAGTATTTGCACATTGCCCTTAGTTAAATTTAATATTTCAGCATCGGTCTACATAGGTACAGAATGTGCTTATAACAACATTTATTTTCCAGAGTAATTTAATAAATAACCTAACAGTTTAGTTAGAATAATAAATATATATATCGTAGATATTTTTCCCCATGAAATAAATATTCTTCAAACACGATATGTTAGTTATTAAATTAAAAAAAACCTGTAACTCCTTACCTACAAAAAGATAAGTCCTTTCACTTCGGAGTTCCGAATGACAATCAAAACTGAACGATAGGTGAACGCTGAACGCAAGGTGAACGCAAAGTGAACGGAACGAAGAGCGAACGCTGAACGCTTTGTGAACGGTGAACGCGAGCGCACGGTGAACGCTGAACGCAAAACTGTGAACGGAGAGCGAACGGTGAACGCACGGTGAACGAACGGTGAACGCACGCTGAACGAACGGTGAACGAACGGTGAGCGAACGGAAAAATGGGAAAGTAGAACGTTTCAGGGACTGTACAATTAGTGATTAACTTTTACATGAGTTATAGGAAAAAGATTCTGTTGATTAAGATCAAGAAGGACCATAGTAACTCAGGTGAGCATTGTGGCCCTTGGGCCTGTTGTTTGTAATATCACCCGTCATCAAGCAATCTTGACTGTTGCTACCCTAGAGGGCTTGGTTTCATCATTCAGAAGGTAATAGTGTTGTTTTTTTTTTTTTAGCAAATCACAATTAACACATACAATTATAATATCATATGTTGTTGAATTTCAGTTTGGACCATTGTAACTGCATGTTGTTACTCCAGGATCATATTGGTTCTGACTTCCCCTGGTCCCAGTTCTCTCTGATTATTGAGTATGAAGGAGACAGATTCTTACAGCTGTGTCAGAGACAGAATATCAAATACATACACTTCTCTTACACACCAACACCTGTCATGACAGGTAAGTATACATACACTTCTCCTACACACCAACACCTGTCATGACAGGTAAGTATACATACAATTCTCTTACACATCAACACCTGTCAGCACAGGTAAGTATACATACACTTCTCTTACACATCAACACCTGTCATGACAGGTAAGTATACATACACTTCTCTTACACATCAACACCTGTCAGCACAGGTAAGTATACATACACTTCTCCTACACACCAACACCTGTCAGCACAGGTAAGTATACATACACTTTTCTTACACACCAACACCTGTCAGCACAGGTAAGTATACATACACTTCTCTTACACATCAACACTTGTCAGGACAGGTAAGTATGCATACACTTCTCTTATACATCAACACCTGTCAGGACAGTTAAGTATACATACACTTCTCTTACACATCAACACCTGTCAGGACATTTAAGTATACATACACTTCTCTTACACATCAACACCTGTCAGGACATTTAAGTATACATACACTTCTCTTACACATCAACACCTGTCAGGACAGGTAAGTATACATACACTTCTCTTACACTCCAACACCTGTCAGGACAGGTAAGTATACAGCTAAAAAGTTTGCAGCTAATGATTAGGAAAATTTCTTAATTCTGGAGTAGATCAAACTGCAGATACAGAATTTTTTTTTCTTTTTGCCATCTGTTTTTAGGATTCTCTGAAATAAAGTTTTTAATGTATGTTTCCAATAAAAATGAGGGTAGCACATGTGTTCATTGGGGCAAGCAAGAATCATTTAGATATTGGAAGGAGCATCCAATGAAATGATAAATTGCAAGAGCTTTTTTTTGATTCTATGAACCTTGCATCATTACAGCTTACACTTTAACATGAAAAGAGATATAACATTTGTTTTCCAATAGTCTTCAAAATTTAGCAGAAATGCACATTGATTGAATGGCTTTTAATTCTGTTAATTCCATCTGAAATATAGATTTCTTTACATCCCAACTCAGTGGTAGGTAGACCTATGTGTAACTTTCTGGTCTTCAGTTCAATTTCTTTGCCCTAGACCTAGTTTATAAACACTAAAACTATGGAATGTCCTTAAATAAAGCATACATGAACATTGAAATAGGAAACATTATCTTTGGCCCCATTGTCTAATCAGATCTTTGTTTTGTCATTCTAAGTCTTTTGTAATCACTGTCAACTTAATAATTAAATTATATTGCAGGTAAAAGCATTCCAGAAGTGAACATGACTATCATGTGTTCTAATTCAGTACCAGAGAGCTTGGTTCACCTCTTAGAATCAAAGTAAGCATTATTTGATTGTGTGACAAGGGGAGGTAAATCTGTACAAATCTTACTTAAAAGTAATCTACTGGTATGTTATGTCTATGTGTATGTTTACCTAGGTATGGTGTGACCTGTATATTCAGAAATCCTGGGGTGGGGCTGACCCTCCCTTACATTATGATTGATGAAGCAACATGTGTGGTTATATATGAAGTGTCTGTGGTTGGTATGGACTTCTCCACTCTACTTTCTGAGTTATCCCTCCTATCTCAGCAATTTCGAGACATCCTTATTATTGCCAGCACCCAAAACTTTAATCAGCCTCAGTAAGTCTGCTGTGTGACAAATGAAACACAGTTCTTAACTTTCTACAATTTTTTCTTTCAATGGTCAGATATTATAAATGTAGATATTTATGTTTGTTGTTAATTACAAGAATAAGAAGCAAAAACATGATGTGTAGCGGTTATTTCTGCAATGCTGGGTTTAAGTATTGTTATATGTGAACAGAAAATGTTTAAAGGCATTGGTACATGGGAGGATTTTTACACGAAATCTTTCTTATTGTGTATTTAGCATAAATTACCCCCACACATAAAGTTTCACATTTACAGTAGAAGAAATTTAATCCTGTTGTATAATTTTTACAGATTAAAACTAAGACAACATCAACAGAAGCTGAATTTCTTTCTACGACAAGCTGTTTCAAAAGTACCTGATCTACAGTATAAGGTATATTGGTTTATAGAGTGAAATTGCAGCTCTTAAACCTTAATAATGAAGTAAACCTTGGTACAACACCCTAACTTGACTGGACACTCTGTTGATGATAAGGGAATATATTCATGGTACAAAAGAGCATAGGTTTACCTAATTGTTAGTGCATGGATCATCTTGTGAGGGGATTCTGTGTGCTGTTGGACTGTATAATCAGTAATGCTTTGATGTACAGATTGTATGGGTATTCTCTGTGACTGTATGTATAATCAGTAATGCTTTGATGTACAGATTGTGTGGGGATTCTCTGTAACTGTACGTATAATCAGTAATGCTTTGATGTACAGATTGTGTGGGGATTCTCTGTGACTGTACGTATAATCAGTAATGCTTTGGTGTACAGATTGTGTTGGGATTCTGTGTGCTGTTTAACTGTATAATCAGTAATGCTTTTTTGTACAGAATCAGATTGTGAGGGGATTCTGTATGTTGTTTGACAATATAATCAGTGCTTTTGTATACAGGTTGTGGCTAGTGACAGTGTCCCATTGACAGCAGAGATTGTGGCCAGATTTTGTCAGATGGTTCTGTCATCTGATGACCAGAACTGGATGTCTGTCTCTCCATCACAGGTATGTGTGTTCATCATAAGCAACAAGAGCAAATAAAATCATTTTACTCTTACCAAATTTAGATAAGTACATGTTATCATACAGTGAAACTTTCTAATATGTCACACATGACTATTTACCAATACTTTGTTTATTTGAATGAACCTGACCCACAAATTTGATGAAGAGATAAGAGTATGTCACAGTTGTTGCTTAATATGTCCTTGGTAGATGCATCATAAATTAATCATTGAAAGTGTAAAACATGTCAATTTCTGATGCTGATTATCATAACCATTGTGCATAAATCTTAGGCCATCCTTAAAAAAATTGTTTGTTTGGAATTGCCACCTGGGAGGTTTCAGACCCAGGAGAGAGGGGGGGGGGGAATTTTTTTTTTTTTCAAAATTAAATTAAAAATTGATGATAAAAATCTCAATAAGGAATGAACACATTATTTTCTGCCTTTTTGTAAAGGGTATCTCCCATCAACCAGGAACCCAGTTTTGCTTAGATCCTACACTTATTAAGTGATTGGTGGCACATGTGGTAACAGCCAAGAATTGATTGAATAAAAAAAATCTTCTTATTTTTGGTCAGTAAAATTTTTCCAAGAGGGGTCATTTCAATGAGGCGGGAGGCAATTCCAAACAAACAATAATTTTATTTTGGCCTTATTTGAATATTCTCTGTTCTGCCGAATATATAAATAACTTTGTACATTATGCCTGTCTCTTTAGGAGGAGCAGTTTCTGACAAGCATACCTTGCATCAATCCTATTTTGTATGTATCACTATATTCATCTTTTACATTTCATGCAGATCATTTGAATTCATAGGATTGATATTTATTGAAATGTAATATCTGTTTTCAATATTATTAACATAATGTATTTCATTTTTCTTGTTTTATAAGAGATCAGCTTTGAAAGGCTCGAAAATTGGTCTCTTAATATATTTAACCAAATGTAAATTGTATTAAAACTAAATTGTCATATACATAGTTTTGTAGTGACAGGGTATGTGATGAAACTTGGTTAGTAAATTTTATGCCTGCAGGTGAGGCTTCTAATTTACCCTGCCAATGACATATACATTCAGGTGTTTATGGTTTGTAAAACTATTTCTTCCCACTACATGTTTCATCACTCTTGCCCATTATGACGTCATGTTGTGCTATGTAATATTGTTTTGTGAGTGTAATGTACAGATGATTTTTGAAGAATTTTATTAAAGGGAGAAAAAGGTTCCATAATAAGCCTTGTGTCTATTGACAATTAAATAAAATTAAAGAATTCAAGTTGGATGAAACAATGGTAACTAACTGGCATACATTATGGATCCTTTATTTCTTTTTTCCATCTCATTCGCTTCAGAGACTTACCTCTGTCTGCATTGTTTTGGCATTTTGTTTACAGAAGAAAGATAACTTGAACTGAGGTTGTATTGTTCTAAGTGTTATGAAAGAACATAAGTAACTCCTTATTGACCATCTGTTGTTTTCCAATTGACCATGTATAAGAAATACGCTCCATTATCAACCAATCATAAGACAGGATTTCATTGAAATATCATCAGAGGTGGGGTTATGATAGAGAACTGGTAGAACTACTATGTTTTTATATTACATTAATTGTGCATCACTTTAATACAGTGCTCAGAAGATGCTTCAGATTCTATTCCTACAAGCAATCCTGGATCTTCATCCAGATCAACTCTCTAGGCTCTTCCCTGATGTCCCAAAGAGAATCATTCAGGTCAGAAAAATTGTCAGGCAGAGAGATTTTATTGAATATTAACGTAATAGGAAAAGGATAAATCTTGTGATCTGTATTAGAAGCTTATCACCAAGAAATTATCTACTTCATCCAAATTTTTTCTCTCTTGAGTAGGAATTTTTCACAAAGTTTTCTTCTATATATTCATAATACAAAGTCCATATCTCTTTCCTTCATGCAGATGTTTTATCAAGGTTTAAAGAAAATCAAATTAGAGGGCAATGTATCGGAGAAGGAGATTTCATCAGAACCATGTGAAATTAGTCCAGAAATTGCCCCTTCCCCATCAACACATGCTAAAGAGGAATTCTCTTCATCCCAGAAAAAACAGGTTTCCAATGATCAAGGTTGTGGAACTCTCAAACACATGTCCAATTGTCACGAGTCAGGTCCAAAGATAAGAAAAGATTCTGATCTTGTTTCTACATTCTTTCCTCCCAGCAACCAAGCAGACACTCGAATAGATTTTGTTCATGCACAGAGAGGAGTCCAGGAGGAAAACAGCTGCTGTTCGGAGGACTTCAGAAAAACTTATGACAGACAGGCCAAGGAACAGAGGGATGAAGGCCATTCAGGAGGGTATTTATCTGATTGTGGGGAACAAACTGATGTAGATATGTCATACCTATTGAAAGTAGGAAAAGTCAAGGAAAAAGGACAAGTAGAACAGTCCTATAATTCTAGAGTAAATGGGTCCCAAGATTATCTGACTCGAAGGAAAAGGTCAAGCAACTCCTTTATGCAGAATCTAAATGAAGAAAATTTCTTCTGTGGAAGGGAAACTCTAGAAAATGTGGAACCTCACTCTCAGATCAACCAAATATCTGACAACCTGAGGAAAGATGATTGGAGTGTTAACTTTGATGACAGTATCCATCAGAGTTTATTTATTAGAAATCATCATGGTTTGAATTCTACAGACTCATGTAGACATACTAACTTGTACCCTTCTAATACATATACAAGTGGTCAGACTTCACCAAGTCTTCATTGTTCAGATGAAAACAGTAAAGATATGAGAGAGGATATCATCCAAACAAGTACAGAAAATGGTCCATTGGAAGATGAAGATTATAAAATAAATGGTGGGAATTTCCGGGACAATCTCATTGCTACAACTCGGCAGCTACTAAAGCAGGCAACCTTATCAGCAAATGACAAGATATTTCAGAGAGCTGGACCAAGAAGAGTAAGCATAGGACTGGCAAGACCACTCCGACAGTCCCAAAGTAAGGGTTTAAAAAGACCACTCCAACAGCCCCAAAGTAAGGGTTTAAAATTAAGCCAAGACCACTCCAACAGCCCCAAAGTAAGGGTTTAAAATTAAGCCAAGACCACTCCGACAGCCCCAAAGTAAGGGTTTAAAATTAAGCTGTTATATATTTCACACATAATTTACTGTCAATTCCATATATTGTATTTGAGTACTTTATAATAAAGTAAAATGACTCATAGATGTCAAATCGTGATAACATCAATTTGCGAGTGCACTATTGCTGAAAAGTTTTTACAAGCACATGTATTTTGGCTGACGTGTATAAAAGTAAATGCAAGTATTTTTATTTAAGTACTGAGTAGTGCTTTTCACAAAATTACATGATTATATATTCCTGCAAATATTTAGGAATCTACAGTCTCCTAAAAACTGTACTTTGTGGAAAAAAATAAACATGGGCAATTGCTTCACCATTGTTATTGATTATAAATTTAATTTGAGGTAGTATAAATATTTAAGTAAAACTGAAGATGGCAGGCCCGTAGGAAGCAATTTCAGTTTGGGGGGGGGGGGGGGGGGGCACAGCCACACACTTTCGGTTGTGGGGGCACTATCAACTACCAAAAATTCTTTGACAAGCAAAAATTAAAAAAAAAAAAAAAAGGTCATCAGACGTTTTTATTGAGGGGGCACAAGCACATAGTATCTATGTTTTCTATAGTAGCTCTATACATGTATATTGGCAAAATTATTGGGGGGGTGTGTGGCCCCCCCCCCCCCCCCCCCCATGGATGGTCCTCTGTCTCTTCCATCAAACTCCCAGATTCTAAAAAGTCAAGAAGAACTGTCAAGACATAACACAATTCCTCACAACAATACTGATAGCAGAATGCCTCATATCACTAATAGAGATCTACTCTCATCACAGGTTTTACTGTTCAACAAAGACAAGAAGTCAAACAAGATGGTATATATAAAAATCCAACACAACTCAACAGATGCAGAAAACCATGTCAAAGACGGTGGACGTCAAGAAACTCAGGTGATAAACCCTCAAAGCAGGGGCACTGTGAGCCATGGTTTACTAGCCGAGGTGATCTCACTTTGGACTATACCTCAGAGACTAACAGAGGTCAGGTAGACAGATGGCCAGGGTATGACTCTCCACCAATGGACATTGAGTACGATTACAGTCTTCAACAGGTATATTAAAATACCCTATTTCTGTCTTAACAGTAGTTGCATTATTATTAATTTATAATAATTACCGCTCGCCCATGCACAGTGAAATTATATACATATTTATATAACAAGATGGTATACCCGGTACATAAAGATTTAACTCAGATTTGCTCAAAACATGACAACACTAACTAGATTGTTCCAAGGAGTGCATGTATCGCCTGCTATGGCATCATTAAAGATACAAATAAATCTAAGAATGATCAACTTAGTATTATAGTTCACAACTTAGTATTATAGTTCACAACTTAGTATTATAGTACATGCATTTGCCTGCAAAAAGACTGCGATAGAATAGCATTTATCATAAAGTGTGACAAATCAAATAGAAATATGATTCGTCAACCATCACAGCTAAAATGATTTAAGGAAATTAAAATATTTAGAAATAATTATTTATGTATTTAATTTACACCTGTTTAATTCAACTATAATTAGAAAGAGATTTCAATCTGTCTTTAATGCAATTATCAGTCAACATCTTTATTTGAAGCTTTTCAATTGTGAAATACAGATCTCGATGTATTTAAAGTCCAGTTCTTGTGGTAACTGTATATCATACAGTTTAAAAGAACAGTATAATGAGCTCATAAATATGTAATATATATATGCTAGTATTGAAGCCCTGCATCTGAAAATTCAGAAGACAAAAATAAATTAACCATTTGGAGTATTTATGAATCAATAGGCAAGGTCAAGTGGACTGTATAACAGATATTTTCCATAATGTCTTATGACTAATAGTGCACATGCTAAAAAGCACAGACTAACCTCGCAAATGCATGTCCAAAACATGCTGTATATCAGTATTATGAACCATTTTAAAAATTCGGTTAAAGGTCAAGTTGAAAGGTAACAAGATCAGTAACCAAGGCATTGTTTTTCAAAACCCACTATGCTAAGTAATACATTTCCAAAATATCAAATCCATATCTCCTACAGTTCTCAAGATATAAGGTGTGAGATGTGGACAGACAGACAGAGACCTGGTTAAAAAAAAAGGTCCCTAAGTGTTGCATTGCTCTGCAGGTGACAAAAATATATGTGGATGGCACTCCAGTGAGAAATGTGCTCAATTCCAAAATAAGGTTCAGTGAAAACTTTATTCATTGAATGCCAATCCACATTAAGGCTGTACTTATTATGCAAGAAGGGGAGTTAACTAAGTACTAGAAGATAAGATATTGATCATGTAACCTATAATAAAGTTACAAAATTCATCTTATCTTTTGTTTGCAAGTTTGATTTGTAAATTACTTATTCCTAAACATGCATTTATGAGATTAAGTCATTTGAGTTGTATATATATATAATTTAATTCTGGTTGTAGCGCTGTATTTGATTGGATAAAAAATTTACTTTATATCGAGTTGTCATATTGTAATTTTTGTATTTACTACCACCCGGTAAATTCAAAAATTACAATATGACATTACATTCAAATTTTGAACAAATTGAAGTAATTTTTTAAGGACAATCATCTTTTTTTCTTACACCAAATGAATGAAAATTAAATTATAAGGAATGAATTTAATAGCTACCCAATTTATATGGTATAAACTGAGTTGGAACAGTTTGCACTTTTTTATAAACCGCTTTGCGGTTTATAAAGTGTAAACTGCCCCAACCCAGTTTAAACCGTATAAAATGGGTTGCTATTAAATTATTCCTTAAATATATATTATACTTTTGTTGGATACTTTAAATGTTCTGCTGTATATTTTTGTTCAGGACACAGACATTGTAGAAGATCTCTACAGCTGCAACAAAACTTCAGGTTAGATTTTCAGAAGTATTGGAACATTTCTCCTTAATTTGTTTTGTATGTGTTTTGTTATCCTATGTTCTATATATGTAGACCCCTTACTTTAAGCTTTGATATTTTATCAGTAGGATCCAATAAAAGAAAGCTGACTTATGAAAGAGTCCCTAACTCCAAACAAAGCAAGATTGTCTTCAGGTGATTATAAAATACCAAAACTGATACAAAAAAAACTTTTAGGATTCAGATAATATATAGAAACTGCAAGGACTTCTAACCTTATGAAAATGAAAATAATTCATCAAAGATGTAATAATATATGTAAAATTCTGTACAAAATTTTATCATTCTCACATTTAACATTAAATGGTTTATATTTTCTGATTATTAAAAATATTTGGCAATCAAATATGCTTTTTTCTTTAGCCCCTAGTAAAGGGGGGTGGGCACTTTTTTTCAGAGTATAGTATGTTGATTAGTGTATTTTAATAGTATGTTGCTATAGTAAATTTTTATTTAGATGCTGGTTGCCCCCTTCCCCTTTTATTTTGCTGTGAGGGCAAGCACTGGCAAATTCAAGGATTTATTAAAGAGGTTTATTTGTCAGATCATTTTGGTGATTTTAAAATTTTCTAAACGTTTTACGGATTTTTTGAGAATCCACATCTGATTTACACCACATCTAGTATATTCTGTAGCACAGTACGTTTGAAGTAGTTTATTGAAACAAAGATTTTCCACTGCCCCATGTAGGACCGAATTTAGGCCCCATGCAAAAACCCTCTCTTTTTTCCAAAAATATGAAAGAGTTGTGTGTTATGGTTAGAGTTAAGGAATAACTGTCTAATTTTTTGGATTCATGATGTGATCAATCGATTGGCTTGCGTGATAATTTGCATAAACGCCGAAGGCGTTTATGCATAAAATTATCACGCAAGCCAATCGATTGATCATCGTCATGAATCCAAAAAATCTTACAGTTATTCCTTATATTTACATGCTCCTGATTCTGCAAATTCCCGTGCTATTAGCCCCGCTTCTGTCTCTATTTGTCCCGCCCCGCACGTGATTTTTTTTTAACCGCGCCTATCGATGAACCAGTGGATTTATGTAGAAATAAAGTATTTTTACAATTTGTAATTTTATCGCGGACAAAGACAATGGAAATGTAAATATTTGAAAATCAATGGAATGACAAAAGTTAAGGGAAGCATGGTTCTGTTGATGACTGACAATTTGTTAATTAGTTTGTTTTGGGTTTTAAAAAAAAAAATTCTGAATAATTATGTAAAAGCTCATATTTATTCATCATTAATGTTTATTTCTTGAAATTGTCTTGGTATATATAATTTCCCAAATAGTAATAAAATCTTCTTGAATTCCCAATTCCAAGGGCCCAGGCCCAAAATGTGGTGGAAATTCCGTGTTTCATTACATTTCCAACAGTGAAAAACTGTGATTTATTCACAGTCGCAGTATTCACAGCCATTGTATCGACCATAGAACTTACGAAATGATGACTTTAAACGAGACTGTTGATAGTCTTGTTTCATCAACTTGTTTGTTAATAACTTACCTCGTTTTAGAAATTGTTCATACGTAGAGTATGCTCTTGCGTATCGAATCAACTGAGAGATATACACCCCATATGCAAGTGATAAGAACCTTTTATATCTCCAAAAGTAATATTTCTTGTTAATAATAAAATAAAATCCCACTGAAGAGTAAGAGAAGATAAAATATAAGAATTCGAAATTCATAGTTAAAATACCTTGATTTACTACAGTAAAACTAAGATTTACTATAGTTAAAACTTTGATACTATAGTTAACTACAGTTTACTATAATAATTTTTTGTTAGGGCAAAGACCTAATTGTTAATTGACGTAATCAAAAGAGACATCATGTATACGTGGTCCGTTGTATGATCGATGTCAATGACTACGGCTACGTCTAGGTGTTTTGTTAAAAAGTCCCATCACATTCACATTGGCACATTGTGGGTTGACAGATCCCATACATTATTTATACGGTCGTTGCAACCACACGGAAATGCCGTAGCTAGTTTCCTGATCCAGTATTCTTCTCGTTGTCTACGGAATTGAGTACTTAAAATGGGCTATTAACAAAAAAAATTCTAACCCTCGTTGAAATCAGTTTTTTTAAAAAGAAGAAAGATTTGCGTCAGTGGTCTTTGATGCATATGCAACTATTAAACACTGAAACTTTTTTTCATTGCTTTTTTCATAGCTTTTATTGCATGGGCTGTTTGCTATACAGCACCTACAATGTCAATATTACAGTAACTATTACTGAGAACTGATTTACCATTCATTCATTCAAGGTCGATTACCCCGTTTCTGGTTATTGACCTTTTACACTATATTAACGTATTACATAAGTTTTAAACGATCAGTCATTTATACACTCTTAGTTAATGAATTGTGAAATATTCAGATTATGCCCATACTAAATCGATATATGTGCATGATTACAGTATATAACATCGGTACTAATGTTTAATCATAATTCTTAATATGTGTTGATTATTTCGCTACTTATGATACAACTCTCATTATATATTGACATTTGCATTTAATGATAAAAAAATTTCCACTGACAATGCTTGATAAGTGTGTCCAAGTGCCATAGTGTTTGAAATGGGAGTGAGTGGGATAGGTATTCCCTTCTCGGAGCTAGATGGGTAACATTTTGATGGGTTCTGGTGTATTGTTGAAGTCATTTATGAAACATTCAAACATTTTAGCGTCAGATAAGAATGCCAGTGAAGTACTTCCAGACAGATCCGATATCCTGAGGATGCAAACTTGGTTAAAATTGGGCCAGTGTTCACTCCTGAGGCCCCAGTGTGGCAGGGACCATGAACTTCACAATTTTCGTTCCCCTTCACTTCCCCTTTAGTACTTTATGCCAAAACTGGCTGGGTTTTTTTCCTTTAAAAAAAGAGGCTAGTGAAATGTGAAGATAACGAACAGTTGTCAAGCTCAAAAGTCCATTTAAACCATACAAATCATGAGCAGAGCCAACACGGACCTCTGAAAACAGAGGATCAGGTACCATGGAAGAGTAACTATCTCTTGTGTTCCCTGTCATGATCTGGTAAACGGAAAAAACCGTAGACAATTCAGTGTGAAAATAATGGTTTAACGATTTGCACGAAAAACGTCATTCAACATTCGACTCAACGACAATGTCATTGTATCGACCACAGAACTTGCGAAACGTTGATCCCAAACGATATTGTTGATATCATTGTATCATTAACTTACTAGTATTTGTAAATAGTCTGCCTCGCCTTAGAAACTGTTCATACCTAGAAATGTTCTTTTGTATCGAATCAACGGAGAATCTTAAATTCAATATGCAGTATATTTAAACAATAAAATGCTTTCTTTGATTGTTAGTACGGGAATTAATGTCGCTGCTGTTGCAGAAAAAATACATAACCCGCGTAAGCGGGTTTTGTAAATTTTTTTCTGCAATAGCTGTGACGTTAATTCCCGTACTAACAACCAAAGAAAGACAATTTATATCTGTATAAATAATCATTTAAAGTAGGATTAAAAAGATTAATTATTGTAGTATTGATATATGCACGTCATAGTACGTTTTATTGACGGAACAGCCACTGGTCAAGGATATGCCTAGTGTTGTTCATGAACTGAAACGGCAATAGTTTTCTTTAGAAATATAGGAGAAAATATTCAATGGATGTAAATATAATAGTATATCGGTATTGCTACATAAACAAGGGAAGTTGACGATAGTGAAGTTGAAGTCATCACGTTTATCATAGAGAATAGTTGTTTGTTTGCCATCAATGTCTTTCTCTAGTAAAATATCGAAATATGAAACAAATATGTCAGACTCTATGGTGGCTTGTTCGGAGATCAGTGGGATATATATCGAATTAACTTAGGAATGAAAATGAATATTGTTAATTAAGAAAACGCATTAGATATCTAGATGTCGAATTGAAGGCCATAGCAACAGAATTCTTCTTTTCATGTAGGTTTTTGAATTAATCCTGCTTCATATAGAATGCAAAAATGGATCTGCTAAAGTAAAAAACATGAAAAGTTAACACACAGACAGACAGACAGACAGACCAGAACGCTCTTGGTTAGAAAAGTACACCTATTAATTATACATTTACAACTTAATGATGGAAGATGACTTCCAGTAGTTTGCAGTAACCGTATAATAATAAGTCTCAGTTCAACTTACTATGTTTTTCGATTAAAGAATATTCTTTTTTTTCAAACACACAGTTTTTTCCTTAATCTTAACAACTGTTTTTTGTGTTAATTGTTAAGCTGATGTACATGTACACGCATCCTTAAAACTGTAAAATGGCTCCACTGTCCAATCTACTGAACCACTTGATAGTTATCTAATATAAAATCTGCATAGTCGCACGATAGCAAAACAAACATTATAAATTCTAATGTAACTATACTTAACATTTTCTTGACTCCGTACAACACTTAATCTTTTCAGCAGTCCTCAAGTAAAATGATCCGACACAATATATTTGTGTACATTTTTCGAGTTTATGAATACAACCTTGAGATATAATAATACCTTTTATAATGCGTCGTATAGTTTTATGGTGCAATAAAAAGCTCGGTGCTTCTAAAATGCTGACCCGATATGTATAATAAAATTCTATTTTTTTTTTCCTGTGTGACCAGCGTCTTATGCAGAAGATTGTGAAAGAAAAATATATCTAGCAAAAAAAAAAAAATCCAAGTACTGAAAGTACTGGGAAGCGCTAAGCATTTTGCAATTTTAAATTCATCAGAATCATTTTAAATTTAAATTGCCTGTTGTATTGGAATTTAAGCAATATCTTGACAGTGCGCCTGCGCTAGGGCGAGCACAGTTGTTTGTTACATAATCAAACATGTGAGTCATGAAAAATTCCCGTTGGGATATGAATTAAATTCAACAATGTCTTAAGACTTTTTCTTTTAAGCATTTTACATTTTCTTCTTCTGTCAAAAGATCAATCAATTTCACATACATGAAATTGCAAGAAAACATTTTTCCGTTTCTTAAAAAAAACAAAACAATATATACAAATTAAATGGCTGATATTTACTCCAAACAGCAATGTATTTCTCAAACCTAATTAAAAAAAAAAGAAAAAAACATGTAAAAATATTTTCTTTTCTCCATCTCCTTATAGGAGTCTATAAGAGGTAGCTTTGCGTATAAATGCAATTTATCGGAGGGGATGGTCGACGAGTTCTCCGACCAAATTTAGACTATAAATCTAGCTATACATTAATTTTTCTGGAAAGTGTATATCTAAATAATTTTGAACACTTGAAAATGTCGCTGAAATTCCTCTCATTTATTTGCAACACCGACAGCTAAAATGTTCTGGTGATAATTTTTAATAATAAATTCATTCCGTGTGTACGAGTGTTTCAAATTGATGACTGGCTGTTAGTGACTGTGGTTTAATTTTAGAAACTGCACTCGGAAAATAAAGATGCTATTTGTTTATTGCGTCGATAAATATTTCCTTATTTATTACATAATTATTTATTAAAGTTATGAATAAAACATCTCAAAAATATCGAATACTAGTATTTTCACTAAATTGTTTTTAGTATATCTCTTTTTTTCATATTCATATGCGATTTATAAATTTACGATTTTATAGAAAGGATTTTACAAGAAATACATTAATGAAGTGTGTAAGATATTTACACAATCTCTACGGGCGTCCAGTATTTATTAATGATAAATAAAACATAGACTATATATTAAATTTTGTTTTGAATATGCTACAGCTGTGTATTATACATTTTTAACACTTCACATTCATCGCGCTGTGCAGCATATCGGCATCATGTTTGTAACAACGTCATGTGACAAAACTCTATGTTAATGAAATGAGCACCCGTAGAGTTAACCTCCTTTTGTCAGAGATAATTGGTAAATATACATTTTGAGTGTAAAGATATTATATTTATCTTCTTTGTTTGATGATAAAACATTCGGTGCTATCCTTTTATCTCTGATTTTCGTATACATGATTTATAATGTATTTTCAACAAAAACTGTCTTTTCTGTTGATCTCACAATATGTATATCTGATTTGTAAGTATTACTTTTTTAAAATAAAAATTTCATACCTTTCTTCTTTGGATTAAAAATATGTCATTAAATCCCCAAAAGTATTTTGGACTATTGTTGAAATACATGTACTTTAAAATGCTTCAGTATTTTTTTTTACTGACGTTTGTTGCTTTTCACCATTCTTTACTTGTTTATGTATGATTTTAACTACCACGCAAAACGTGTTTAGAGGGGAAAATATTCACAGCACTGTTGTGTTAGTTGAAAAGGAATGCTGAAAATAATTGCCCGTAATTTTTCTGCTATTTCCATGATAAATAATTCAACAGCCCAAGAAAGAAAATACAGTATATTAATCTCAAGTATTAATAAATCTTCATGAAGGTATATAACATTGCTTTTTCTGTTTTTATGAAGTCCTCATTAAGTTGCTTCGCAGTCAAATCGGCAACACGCGCACATCTTTACATAAACTATTTCTTCCTAGTTTCCTAATACGAGTATTAACTGTTTGCTTAACATTTCATCGGCGCTATTCCTGTCCATTGCTAAGAACGTTTAATTAAAGTTTTCGCATTTTTCGCCATATCTTGCGCACTGCACACACAATTTGAAAGCACAATATTCCGAGAAATTAGTTTTCCTATTTGAGTGGATTCGTTGAAAACACAGCCACCACATGCCCTACATGTACGTACAGCCGCAAACTGCCTTTCCTTTAGAACTATTTACATCATATTTTTACCCATATTACAAGTATAGAGTACAACTACAAGTATAGACGGTCCATGAATGCATTCTAGTCTGTTACTTATTGATACTGAGATGCGAAAATCAATTTCATTGATAGCTCTCTGCATGGTGCAAGGGTGATAAAAGAAAGACTTGTTTTAGTTACATTGTCTGAAATAAAGGTCTGGAAGAAGACATAATAGTTTATATGGTATAAGTTATATAGAACGTACATATGTAAGTATTTTGTAAATCAATTTTATGCGAATTTTTCTACTAAATAACTCAATTCCAGTTTGAGTTTTAAATACTTATTAAAATCCCATCTGAGTTTTTAAAATATGTACTTATTCAATCACTGCATTACATGTACATGACATATACATGTAATAAACCGTTTTCAATTAAGTATATGCGCCATAGATGCAGCAGTTGTAAGCTACATGGTACACAAGTGATGAGTGCCGACACGATTTTAAATGATCTACAATGTATAGAGATAAGCATGACAAGAACCGCCCTTATCTACTAACAGTGGATTTTCGTACAATGTACATGCATATCTTTACCTAACTAATTGACTCCTATTATTAGACTGCACGTAATTTAGTATTACACTAAAATAGCCGAAAGAGAGTCGGGGATTTCCAGTTGCATATTTTTAGAAAACCCAGTGGAGTTATCTAACTTGCTTAGTGGCGCTGGATCGCGAACGGAAGTAGATATAAGATGACAGTAAGCGCTTTGCGCTGCGCTTAGCGCTTAAAAAGGTTAAATTAGACAAACTTATGCCTCCTTAAACTGCCAGACTGATCTGAAAATTGAAGTTTGGCCTTTGGATCTTATTGTATTCATTTTGGATCACGGACCCCATCCTCGCCTTAAGCTTTAGTCCAATGATTTTAAATACATTAGAAGACAGTAAAGCCTGGTTGTTTTCAGAAGATTGAGTCTAACTTGGTTAAGAAAAATTGATTGATTCTTAATCAAACCGATGAACCTCTACAAGTAACAATGAACCTAATATGAACAACTGAAAGGCCCACTTTGATAAAATTTTTGTCGACGATCACATAATCCAAATTTTGACTACCAGAGAATTGTTTTTGTTTTATTTTTTTCTAAGGAGAAGACAAGAGGGCAGAGGATTGCCTCTTTATTGTCATTTTCTGTATTTTATCGGGGGAAACAATTACAATTTTTTTTTTGGAGGGGGGGGGGCAAAGTTTTCTTTCAGGTAAGTTGTCAATTTTTTTTTTCTGGTTGCCCTCCCCTCTTTTCGAGAACGATACTACGTGCCTGAGCTATACATCATTTTGAGAATGCAGAAGAGAGCCAACCTAAAAAAAAAACAGCCTCTAAAAACAAAGTTAATAAACATGGTCAACGGAAAAAAGAATTCTATTTTCATTCATGTAATGATTACACGTGTCTACGTCAATGACAAAATCAAATCTTTATAAGAATGCCAAACTGTGATAATACGGCTTTAGCTGATGCAGTGTTTAAATATCCCCGTCAACAGAATGTCAGAGTTTTGAGGGGGGTATTGTCTTATAAGTACCCTTAATAAATACTACATATAATGGCTGAGCTGATTTAATTTACCGCGGACACAATAGGTTACATCTGCACTGCAGTGTTTGATAAAGAACACACTGATGAACAGACACCCAGATATTCTGTAGACATTGTAACTCTTCTCTAACAGACATTCTCTATCGTCTATAGGGGGCGGGGCGGAGACCGTGACTCGAAATTTGGACATCTCCTGATGAAAGCTCATTGGAGCGAGAGACATCCGCACTCTGAAAGGTTCAATGGTTTATTAATCTAAGCCTATTATAGAATGTAATTCTTTGGGTATCGTTTCCTATTAATGAGAGTTCGACATAAGCTATTTCTCTGTATATTGTGGAATCGTTCGTACGATAGACATGGCTCTGGCACCTCAACCAAACCCGGATTTCACCAGTGAGACGATTCTCCGCCGATATCGACCACTGAGTCGACACAAGTAAGACTATTATCACACATTCATTCATATTTTTTTCTGTATGTTTTATCTAACAACAATCTGTCCTTTGTTTCATTCATGTAATATAATAAAAAAGAACGTAGTTATAAACTTTTAAAATTTTCTTTTCATTTCTACAATTTTTTTGGCAGATTTGAAATAAACTCAGAAAATAAAAGTTTTGCCACTTTATTTCAGTATCGGGGGCTATGAGTACGTATTATTATCAGATATTATCCATACAAGCACTGTTTCCCAGACGAGTGTAGATTAAATCTGAAGCCATCACTATTTCGGCGTGGAGTAGAATTGACCATGCATCATAGACTTTTTTTTTAGCCTATCACTAGTTTTCTTTTACGCTTTTTAATTTGAGTATTTATTTGCGCTCACTTCAACTTGTTATTCTTTCGCACTTTCCTTGTTTTAATTTCCATTCTTGGCAATAAAAATATTTTTAACAACATTTAAAATTCATTCCTCAATTTGTATACAATAATTTCATTAAGAAAATATAAATAATTGTCTGGCAAATTGCTACAAATTTTTTGAAAAATAAAACAATCCATATATCGGTTAATGCAGAATGGCGCGAAAAAAAATTACCCGCAGAATGGAAAACAAAAGACCTGACGGCTCAATGTTGTAGAGGAAAAGAAAAGAAAAAAAGTTGTCACGAATGTAAATTGTAGCACTTTTATTATTATTTTTTTTTTTGTTTCATAATCTTCAGTATTAAATGTGGACTGCGAATGTCTTTGTCTTGAAGCCTTTCCGACGAACATGGCTTTGAAAGTTTGAATCATTGCGTTACGAAGCTCTAAGGGACGTGCATAATTCATTAATAGATATTGATTAGTTAGCAATACAACATTACCGGTCTATATACCTATAAAGCAGTCGTTAAGCACACACAAAACGGTTTGTAGGGGATTTAATCTTTCGGGGCCATGCAAGGGGTACCGTTGTTATCGAATCTCAAACACTGTAATTCATCTAAGATAAGAAAATATTTACCCATAGTTTAAATATACAGTCTATGTGGAGTTCGGTAGACGGTGATATTTTTTTCCAACAAAAGGCATTTAAAAAGGATACAGGATATAATCACCTTTGGGATTAACGGGTGTCGTGCGATTCACTTGACACGGTGGACGATTAACTGTTAGGTGTAGGAGTAAAAAGGTCTAGCAACACTCAACACTGCCCGTGTCTGAACCATGTACGGCGATCAACCTACGTACTGCGAGCCCACCCCGACAGTCGTGGCCCCACCTAGGCCCGCCTCCGCCCAGAACTTCACCCCCGCGTACTTATGGAGTGACTTTGAGCCGCCTGGTGTTCGCAGAGAAAGGTGACATTTTAATTAATTTTTGTTAGCCATGAGTATTATCATCGCTTCGAGTGCACTTTTATGTTTTGTAAAACACCATTTCATTGAACTTAATAATTTACTCGTGCATATTGCAAAATGCTGTTGACAAGGACGTCGAAGCTAAATGTCCATGTTTTATTGAGCATTTTGTAAACTTCTTTAGACTAATTTTTTTTTTAAATATATGAAATTGAATCTTGCTCGTTTGATTGGTATAAAAGATAAGACGCGAGCAACTCTTTTAATGCTTATTATTTTCGGTTATTTAGACCAAAGATTTTGAAACTTGAGTAAAAAATATGAAGTTTTAATTCGTTTTGAGGAAATTTGACCTCTTCTTAAATACACTTTCAAACCGATTTCTAACACATCAATCTTTTTATTCGATTATAAGGAAACGTTGATTTAAATACAACTACATTTCTACATTGCAAATAATATCTTCCCATTGCCAAGGATGGAAAACATTGAATTACTTTTATTGACTTTTATTACGAAGGGAAAATAAAAATTCGAAATGGACAAACACACTATAGGAGCAAAACAAATCTACAGCTTTAAAAATGCTTCTTTTTAATCGCTCTTTAAAGATTTCTCAAAAAGAGTTGGCATGCATTGTATACAGATTTTAGAAACAATCCCATATGGATTTGATTGAAAGTATGTATATAATCAGTTTCTTTAAATTAATCTAACTGTAAATCGTGATGAGGTTTAGTTCTAGTGTTATTTCAGTCAAACTTGGGAGTAGTGAAGTTTACTACTCTATTTATAATTGTAATTTACTATAGACTTTAAAAATCTTGATTTTTTTCGTTGGTGGTCAAAATCATAAGCGAATGACATATACATGTACATGTATGAAAGAGTTGATAAGGGAATTATATTACAGCGATTTCCACCAAATATGCACACCTTAATGAGCACTTAATTCTGTGTCATTAAGATATTTCTCATTATTTATTTCCACAAATTCTTTATTCTACACTGAAATAAAATCACTCGTTCCGCATAAAAGAACTTAACTTTGCATCGGTATAATACTCTAATTTACGATCTTTCTTCGCTATAAAATGCATAGTTTATTCCCTCTTTAAAAGCCTTTGTACCTTATTGAACCATTGATTCTTTTGTTCGTTGTTAGGACAACATATGGAAACATGAACGATTGGATGAAAGTTTCCCGGAATGGGGTTCCTGTCACAATGTCAGATAATAACTGGCATAATTTAAAAAAGGTCAGTCTATGAGTTGTCTCTCCTAGATACGAATAAGGGCCAAAGACCATAACCTGAGAACAGACTTGCGTCAAAATTTTTATTTTTAAAATCTTGAGTTTTATTTAACAAAAATATTTTAAAACTTGCATGTTAATATGAAATACAAATACAAACATATGCAGTGAAATTTTTGTTTCATTTTCAAAATTATTTCAATAGTTTTACCAATTTAACTTAAGTTATGGTCTTCGGGCCAGGTAAACATGGTAAAGAATATTTTATTTAAAAAAAAAAAGTAGACGGTGACGTCATAATTAAATATCCAGTGACCCCAATTCGCAAGCAATTATGACGTCATTAATTTAGAAATTTAGAAACTGACGAGAATGCTTTGGTATGCGTCCAGTCCACGTTTAGAAGGCGGTGAAGGTGTGTGGTTTACACGTGTAAGTTTGCACAGAGATTGATTTTTTTTTATTTCTGCCTATCAAAGATTTTTTTTATCCCAAAACCTAAATCAAAGATATATTGTTTTATTAAGAAAAGAGTTTAATTTTTGAAGATTCATGAGGACATGAACTAGGACGCTTCACGCCGGCATATTTCATGAAGCGCGTTAGCGCTTCATATGCCGGCGTGAAGCGTTGTAGTTCATGTACCTCATGAATTTTCAAAAATTAAATTCATTTCTTATATTTACATTATTTTTCTGACTAGAATCCATAAGTTACGCCATTCAACTGTCATTTTTCAAGCAAAACAGTTTGCACTATAGTTTTGACGTCAAGTAAGGTATTATGACGTAACAATGGAGATATTCATGCTCATGGTAGTTCATGAGGAAATGAACTTGTAATCTTCTAATTTGCAAAGAATCTTAAGGAAAAATACTTGGAAATGTAAATATTTTAAAATATTCTTTTCTAGAGCGAACAAAAAGAACATGATTTACAGTTCAAGAAAGCCTTCAGTAATTTAACCAACAAAATCGCCTACAGATACCCAAACCCTGGAAATCCAAGGTAATTTTATACTTCGTGTAGGTTCTTGCATTGATTTTTCGTCCAATTTTAAATGTTTAATTTTAAGCGTATTTGTTCCATCCAGGCAAAGGCAAGGGAGAATTGGAGGGAGTTGGAGACACATAAAGGAAGTTCTAGGGCACGGAGGAAGTCGAGTTGTCTATGTTGATGGTATAAATCATGTTAATAAACAAAAAGAAAATAATTTAAGGTAGTCCGATCCTCAGGTTCTGAAAATTAGCTTTTAAGTAAAAAAATAACAAAATTGTCTCTGATTTCACAGAGTACTGTGAATTTCCCCATGGTATTTCTTCAAAGTTTATCTTTACAGTAAATCATATTATATAGGGAAAATTATCAAATATCAAAAATCTTTTCAGGAATTGCGAATAAAAGCACCAGCTATGTATTTTCTAATTGAAAATTGATCAACAAATATATTTTAGGATAAAAAATGTAGGCATCCAGACATTTGGAGAAAATTGCATTCTTAATGCTTATACAGTATATTAGTTCTTCTATTTACTTCAATTGTTATATAATACTTAGTGTAAAAAGCTTGTGCTATCATTGCTAGATATCACACATCACGTCTAATTTCATATCATGCTAATAAGCATTGGTACCTCATGCTAGCTTAAAGGAAATTCGATTTCTCTAAAAATGATTTTATTTTTTTCTTTTATGAAGTACAGATGTTCAACATTTGACAAGACCGTTTCTAAGTCTTCAAAGTACCTTGAATCATATTGAGATGCATTAAATGAAAATTGCTGCACGAAATATTTCAATTTCAAGCTTCATTTTTAGACTTTTTAGATTAAATAATAGATGTAAGAGTTATCCTACCTGACGGAGGAGCGGATATCCTTAGGTGTTAAGTCTAAAACATGCTTGTTTTAATGTAGAAGGTCAATTATTTTTATATGCTTTGAATAGTTACAAAAATTGTTACAGAAATCATTGAATTACGTAAACCTTCATTTCAAACAGAATGTGCTTTATTTTTTTCCAATATTCTAATTCAATGTACTTCAGGTCTGATTAGTGTTTACGATTCAGAAAATTTCAACCAGGCGTTGACATCACAAGTACCGATGATGCCACACATTAAAAACAAAGTATCACCTGAGACGAAGCCGGTCGGCGAATCCGTCAACTGTAAGTCTGTCTGTCTGTTCTGATGGCTTTCTTTTTCTTTAAGATCCGTACCGACCTGAGGGGCCCGGGAGGCGCCTTTCGTTCTCTCCTACCCGCGCCTATTTTGACCCCTTCGCACCATTAGGTACATCTACTGTTGAGTCGCCTTGTAAGTCTAGACGCATGTGCTAGTCTGTGTCGTTTTAATCACATGTCTCTTAAAAGTTCGCCTAAGAAAATTTACTCAGATTTCGTAACTTTAATGTATTGGAAAACATGATACACTTTAACAACTACAATCACAGTTAAAACTAATCCATTTGCATGGCAGTTGAAAAGTTTCTTTTCACGCTTATTACTGTATATAAACTATTTTTATGAAATGGCACCCATCAGGTGTATGCAAGAAGTTTGTATTCAGATGATGGATGTTTAGAAGGAATACACAGCTCAGTAATTGCATGCGCCATCTGTTTACTTAAATTTCTCTATTTATCTTAAACTAAGATAGATAAAAACACAGCAAGGAATACTTTACATAATGGACTAATAACACAGCTTGCAGTTGCTTCAGTATTTATTTAAAGATGTGCACCTTTGTGCTATTATATTATACTTGTATTAGTTTGCTAGTTTGTAAAGATTTGTATTTTCAAGTGACTTTTTCTTCAATGAATTTACAGAATAATCCTAACTTCTGATCAAAATAGAAAAAAAAGTATTATAATCAGACAAAAGAATTAAAGAGAAATATTTTCAAATGATGACAGATAAATCACGTGACACTTTGGCTAAAGGTATCACATTAACGTGAATTGACATGATCTACTTGCAGACCCCCCAGTTCAGCCCGCCTCCCCATCCTATCAGGGAGGAGATGTCGCCAGGAAAATGGGACTGAATGTGTCTCCTAAATATAAGGGATTCTACCGCTATGGTGCCAATTGATATCGTCACTTCCGGTCTCCGTTTTAAGAATGGAGAATTTATACCAGAACCATTCAGTATTTCTGACTTTTATTTTTGCTCACATTTACGTGTTTATTAAAATTATACTTGTTTTGTTTAAAATTTTTCTCAGTTTATTTATATTTTAATGTATTGTTCATATATGTTCAATAAAAAGTCATGTGATGATTTAACAAATGCTTTCTAAAATTACTACATTTCCTGTTGGATATTACAATTAAAGTTTGTTATAAGTCAGCTAAATAAAACGTATAAAACTTACAGTTCCGAAATTCATGCATACAATATTTGTAATGAGGAAATTTTTACAAAATATGAAAGTCTTTCCTTTTAAAATATGAACTTAAATGTTATTTAATGCTCAAAATCTACTACTCAGTTCAGTCAACCGATGAGTAAAACCTTTGCTTTCTCAAGAAATGAGTTCTCACTATACAAGTACCTGCTAATTCAGGTCTCATACAATAGCGAGTTATGTATGGACGTTTAAAATGGAAGAAAAATAAATAGTATGAACAGGAAATTTGAAGATTACTCAGAACTATACATGTATTAAGCAAGTTTCATTAAAGAACGCGAAAACTATAACTTACTCCAGCTTTTTAATTGAGCGTACGGTAGGCAAGTGGGTAAACAGTTCACTAATACATTTCCCATAGGAAATGCATTCCCCTTAATTTTTGTAGAAGGATGGAACATCCCTCATATGAAAGCATGTCATATTCTCTCTGACTGGTTAAATTCTCGAGATGGCACGACATATTCGTTTTCCGGCAAAACGCACGTGTTCACAGAAACATCTGAAAATGAAAGTAAAAATTTCCAGAATTCAGGATATGCACATATCAAACAATTCAATTCTTTTCCTGTCAAAGAGAAACAAAACTGAAAATGGTTTTGAACGTGGAATTTTCTCTTCTTTTTTTTATATATCAAGGATTTTTAGTACAGACTGTTTGCAAGTTCAGAAACTATTTTGTTTTAGTGCATTACTTTCTTCCCCTAAAGATTTTAAAAATAATTAGAGGTATGAATCCAAGTACGTGCTATGAGACTCGTTTTATACATGTATATTTCTTAGCACTCTGATCTTCAATTGTTCATTTTTCTTCCTTTCTGATGTTTGTACTTTACGAGTCTTTGACTTTTGTTTTGTGTTAAATGCCGTTTTTGTAAATTTGAGAAACAACTTGGGTTTAGACCCTTTGTCATTTCTACTGTAATTATAGTAAAACAAGATGTAATTTTAAAATACTAATGCCCCCTTATGGCAACGTTACTCATGCCAAGGTCTATCAAAAGTAGGTTAAATGTCAGGATCAAAGTCATGGACCAAAAATGTTGGTAACAAAAGAGACGTCTGGTCACAAGGAACACACATATGAAACATGAAAGCCTAGCACCGCACCGACCCATTAAAATTATGCCTTAGGTTTAAGTTTTTCAAATGTAGATAAGACTTCAAGTCTAGATCATGAGGTAAAAAATAGTGGTATCAAAAGAAAGGCATTGTCACAAGGAACACACACGTGAAACCCTAGCACCAACCCATCAAATATGGCCAAGGTTTAAATTTTTCAAAAGTAAGTCTCGAGGTCATAAAATGTTGAAACCCAAAGAAAGGTGTTGTCATAGGAAATACACATGAATCCCGAAAGCTCTGGCACCAACCATTAAAGGTTAAAGTTTTCCAAAACAAAGTCAAACTCCAATGTCAAGGTCTTCAGGTCAAAAATGATAGTAATTAAAACAGGTCTTATCACAAGAAATATGTAAGTGAAATATGAAAGCTGTAGCGCCAACCATTCAAAAGTTATGACCAAGGTTAAAAAATTTTCAAAAGTAGATCAAACTCCAAGGTTAAGCTCATGACGGTATCCAAAGAAAGGTCTTGTCACTGGAAATACACATGTATATTGAATATGAAAGCCCTAGCACCAACTGTTCAATGTTTTGCGGACAAAGAGACAGACATGTCCCCAAATCTTTGAATACGGGGACATAAAAATCATTCTATAAACATGACTTTCGGTGCCTAAACATGATAAGCACAAACAATACAAATATATTTCTACACATGTACCTTGAAACACCTTTAGAATTGTAAAGTCCTGTTAGTGTGTGCATCTAGTAATTGACAAAATATGCATTTTCGATGTTCTATATTCCATGCACTATACGGTTACGTATTTTTAATGCATTATTGCAGCCATTGGTTGATGGACAACAGAATAACAAATGTGATGAAATTTGCTTTTCCAACATCAACTTCCCACATTATGCAGTAATATTCAAATATCTTCTGCGTATGTTGTTTATGTTTCCCAACTGATAACGATCTGAGTATGACCAATTTTTAAATCGAGACTGGCTATCGATAAATAAGTTGGTGTTACAGGGCTTTCAACAATCTCTTTAAAATCAGCATTTAGCAAATTCTATGATCGATATAATGACCCTGTTTAAAAAAAAAACCTATCATTGAGCCTTATTTTGACTTACATATTTCATGCATATTGTAAGGCCATTGTTTTAACACAAATTTTGACTGGGGATAAATCAATTCACCAGATCACTACAAAAGATACACGGCAGGTGTGACCTGTTGATAAGAAGTGCTTACTCCTCTTGGGCACCAGATCGCACCTCCGTTGTCTTCAGGGGTCCGTCTTTTTGCCCTGTTCACGATTCGTAATATTTGAAGGATTTATATATGAGATTCATCCATGTTTATCTTCAAATTTTTCAACATGAAGTTCCTTATGAAAATAGTATCGACGTTAATTCAAATACGAGGTTAAAATCCTGAAAATATGACTGATACAACATGAAAGCTTCATCATAGAAGAAAAACAGTTTGTATAATCCTTTAATCGTATAAAGCATGAAGAAACAAGTGCTTTGTACAACATATGTTTATGCAGATATTTCTATATTTCCTTTCATTGGCTGATCAGTTAACATAAATGTAACATATGTCGTAAGTCAATTTCAAGCCGTCAGTGTCCAGTGTTCCGTTCTAGTACTTCTGACGTGGCCATTGCAAGATAACTTGCAGCTTTCTAATGTTGGAATGGTGATTTTCTGCTGGGTAGTTTTACGTCTGCTGCTGCCTCTTGTGCCGTCTTCCTCCGCGACCTCTTTGTACTCTAGAGACAGACAAGCATTCGGTCTCTGTTTTGAGGAGGATTGTAAATCAGCTCATTTCAGTTATAATCCCTTTGGATGTCATGGTAAAGTTTCCTATGAATTTTCATATTTTTATCAAAGTTGGAATTAAGATGCCAAGAACAATAACTCTTATAAATACTATCTAATTGAAAAAGCCTCAAAATGAAGCTTGAAACTGAATTTTTTTCGTGCAACAATTTTCATTTCATGCATCAACTATGATTCAAGGTTCTTTGAGGTCCTAGAAACAGACTTGTAAAAAGCAGACAAAAACACATTTTCAGAGAAATCAAATTTCCTTTAAGCTTGCCTTAGATAACAATGTGTGTTACCACGAAATGTTTCTTTAGATTTCTTATGAACAATCCTGCTGGTTTAAACACAGGTGTGAAAACAGGCCATGAAGTAATTGTACATACAAATAATTTCTTCCAAAACAAAACCAGGAATGATCTCTAATACTTTACAGGGCCTACACAGTGGCATCTGGTGACGCCATGTTGGCATGATTGTGAAGGGAAATTCCAGTCACCGATCAACATTAAAACCCAAAATACCATTTACTGGCCGCAAACTGCGTTACATTTTGTGAATCTGTGTACTAGAGTACCCGGGAAAATACGAAACAACGGTAAGAAAAATTTTTAACCAAAAAGCATTTGTAAAGGAATATGGAATATTCATTTATTCTATGGCTGTGATTTGAAACACAGGAATGATTAATTGGTTTACACTTTATTGACACAATCTTACACTAGTAATACTTTTTATTTGATACAAACCTTACATGTTGATGTCAATCGTTTTTGAAGATGTACAATCTGACATGATTATCGTCAAAAACTTACACGATCACTTCTACAGTTGGTATATACTTGCAGTCTTATGATGACTATTATAATGTGTCACGAGCACACATGGTAAATATAATTATCATTTGACAAAGTCTTACAATTACACTATTATTATTAGAAATGTACATAGTTGCAATACATAGTTACATGTATTTCATTAATTGGAGACATAATATTACATGAACACTGTTATTATTTGATACATTCGTACATGATTTCTATTATCATTTGACACCTACAATATGCATGTAAGATTTAATCATACTTACCACCATCATTCTTACACGATAGCTAAAATCATATCTTAAGTTTTCAATTCTTGTATCTCATAAAAAACCTCTATTTATTTGACACTACACACGGCATTCCAAACATGTCATGTTTACATTTCTCGAGTACGGGAAAAACCAACTATGACGGCACACGTAAGCTAAATAAGTGAAATAAGACATACCTGCAAAAGATTTCTGTCAAAAACAGTGTAAAAATATATTTAGTGTCCTCTAATTTACAAAATACCCTACCATGTGCTGATTTTGACCCGTTTTTATGTAATAATACTGCCCGTGTATTCACCGAGTATGATCGTGTATGACGTCACTGACTTGTTGGACGCACAGTGTAGGGAAACAAAAGAGTGGGTCAATTTTTCCTGTAGTTTATCAATATTTTACAAAAAAAGTTTAAACTTTTTAATATTTTTATATAAGATGCTGAAGCAAAACAAATTGTCAAATTCTTTTTACAATTACTGATGATTTATATCAGGTATTGCACTTGTATTATTAGAGACTATGACGTTGTTAAACTGAGTCATGAGACCAAGTGTCCTTCATCCCCTTAAATAATGGCATAACAATTAGAATGAAAAATGTCATTCAGCATTTGACTTGATGATAGATTGCAATTGCTGACAAAGTCATTATATTGACCATAGAACTTGCGAAATGATGACTTTAACCAAGACTTTTGATATCCTTGTTTCATCAACTTGTTTATCAATAGCTTGCCTTGTTTTAGAGATAGTTCGCACATGGAGCATGCTCTTGCGCATCGAATCAACTGGGAAATATAAATCCCATATGAAGGTGATAAGGGTATATTGCTACATAAGTATGGAAAGTTGACAATAGAAAAGTTGAAGTCATCACGTTTATCATTAAAGTTTGTTGTTAGGTTATCCATAACGTCTTTTTTTAGTAAAATATCCAAAAATGAAACAGATGTATTAGACTCTGTGGTATCTTTTATTTCAAGTTCACTGGGATATATCAAGTCGACATTGGAATGGAAGTAACTATTGCTAATTAATGATACGTCCCCGATATATGTAAATGTCGAGATCAATTTTTAAGGTCACAAGAGGTGTTTTTCTTATTCTTTTGTAGAAATTTTTAAGCAAATTCTGCTTCATATGAATACAAAAATAGGTTTGCTAATAACAGGGCGCAGTTGTACCGAAGGGAATTCCGACCGAATGTTGAAAGACCTGATCTCAGTAAACCACATAGATATTGTCAATCACAAACTCAACCATCTTTTAACTTAGTGTACTCGTGTGTACTTGTGTGTACAATCAGAATGTTTTTAACAAAGTAATCTTGCTTTTGCAAATGACCAATTACAAGGTTAGTAAAATTACGAGTTCTATTTTTATAGAAAAGGCAGCTATTATGTTATAAAGCCTGGACTTCATCGTGAGGAATAGTTCCATAATGTGATTAATAAAAGTCGTACGTTTTGATGTTATGGATTTTGGTATTTTTTTTTTTTTTAAAGTTCCTTGGAGATTTTAAGTATCCGCATGCACCACTTCTCGAATATATCGTTGTACAGTACTCTTGAAGTTTTTCATTCAATGCTGTCAATATTTTAGTGAGGAGTAAAGAAAGAGGCTTGGTAGAACATTTACCGCTAAGTATTTTTGCTTGTAAGGATTTGTATAAAGTTTAGGAATCCAGTGTAGGCATGGTAATTCAAATTTCATTTTGATTGTTAGGAATATTAAAAATATTTAAAACTTACATATGATTTTGAAGAATTTCCTCCTTAGAAAGGGAACTATGGGTATAAGTTGGATTGCCGCTTGCAGAATTAAATCCCAGTTCCTCTAAAGTACAAATCAAATAATGAGCCAAACAAAGATAATGTTGTTACCTGCATTGTCAGCTGGGACCAGTACATACTGATCGTGTAATATATCTAATTCTTTTTTCACTTCTGAATTATTAGGACAGAAAGATAGATTGTTTTCATATTTGCCCCTCAATCGATTAATGCGAGATTTAAACATCCATCTGATACTTTTAATCCATTCTGACAAAGTGTCAAGGTCTTCTTTTTCATGTTTGACCCATCGCCTGGCAAAATCATCCACAGAATTCTTAATATTTGTGAAATTATGAAGCCAGTTGAAAGATCGGGGTTCCCTAAATTTTGTCCCTTTTTCAGAATAAGTGATTTATTAAGTGGAGGATTATGTTTCAGATGTTCGATATTACGGCACTGTAGAGTATTTTTATAATTAAAAAGTTTGGAAATATGGATATAACGATAGTATTCAGGCTCATAGTCCATTAAAACAATACAAATCGGAAACAAAGCAAACACGGACATCCAAAAACATCAGATCAGCTGCATGCCATGGAGGAGTGGAAGCAATAATCGATGTATATTTAATTTCGATGGAAATACAGGGTGTAGTCTTCAATTGGAAATTATGGTGGAAAACAAAATTGGACCCTTTTGTGTTTAAGAATATTACTTATATTAACTGCGTCAATTCCTTTGTTGGCATATCGAAGTTTAAGGATCAAACGGGTTGTTTGAGCGGTTTTTTTTCTTCCGTAAAACGTGGCGGTTTAAAAAGTCTGTGATTTGCAATATCCATAATCAGAGATCCGGGTAAACACGTGTTCGATCGATACACGTGTTGTAATAACTTCAATAGACATGATAAATACATATATATTAATTATGTACTAATTCGTTGCAATACTTGAGCTTTACAGAAAGGGGAGACTCTCACTCTCTCTCCCTCCAACTTAAAAAAAAATACGAATTTCATCAAAATTCGAATTTTAAGTCTCAGAGAGTGGGGTGTCTTAAAACACTAATATTGGCTTCTCAATTCTAAAGAAATGGGCATGCCATATGAAACAATTAACTTTCGATAAGAAAGACATAAATTCCACTTAAGCGAAAATTTTTACCACTTTAATGCACATTATTGTATGTAAAATATGCTATTTCGTTTTGAATCAACTGAGAGACATAAAATTCATTTGCATGTGAAAATGGTATATTGCTATATAAATAGAGAAAGCTGAGGACAGAAAGAAACAAATGAAGTCATCATCATTATCATAAATTTATATTAAAAAATATTATAATTATAATATAATTATCATAACCTATTGAAATATGAATCAGAAGTGTGAGACTGTGATTTTTTTTTTATTTCGAGTTCAGTGGGATATACATGTATCAAATCTACGTACGTAGGACTGAAAATGAATATGGTTTATTGATTAGATATCGTCGATATATTTACATTTAAACGTCGAATTGAAGGTGACAAATATTTGTTCTTTTGATATAAAAGTTTTTTTTTTATAAATTCTGCTCCATATGAATACAAAAGCAGGTTTTGCTTATAATGGGGCACAAACAATAAACACCCATGGGAATTCCAGCAGATTATTGGAAGACCTAGTCTTAAAGAGATACATAGATATTTTCAAACAGAACTTAAGCGTCTTTTTAACCTTGTAACCTGTATGATTATCTGACACGTCCTTTACATTATGAACTGTTTTGACATTTTGTATTCTACCTGCATGATTAAGTGACATTTTATATGTTTTACGTCTTACTTACGTCATACTAAGATTTTTTTTATCCGAAATGATCACAAGTCCTAATGACAATTATTTTGTCCTTTTTGAGTAATCAAGTAACACTTTTCCTCCTTTACCTCCTATTGGATAACCAAACATTTAGTGTACTATATGATTACATTTTGTATTCTTCATGATTATCTCACACTTCCTATGCTTGACAGTGCCTGACACTTTTTCTACCATAGGATGACCCACATGTACCACCTCGACTCGTTGTTCCTTATTAAGCTAAACAGTTCGTATTAAATATGAGGAGTTGGCACTATGCTAATATGATGCAATAAAGAGTAGCAAAACTGCATAATATGTTGTTGTTTATAACAAGATGGAAATTAACATTGCGAACTCTTTGAAAGGTCACTCCCCCCACTTCAGCACAGAATCACGAACTATTTCCCTCACAAACGTACCACAACGAGGGTCAGACAGGTACGTATTTGAGGAAATTCATTTCCACATCGGTACTGAGGAAAAACGGGGATCAGAACATTCTATTGATGGAGATTTCTATCCAATGGAGGTATGCAATGTATTCAGCGTATACATTCCTATTTACCAGTCTAATTCATTTAGTACACATTACATAGAAGAAACCATCGTACTACGAGGGTTTGTAAAAAAAAAAAAAAAAAAGTAATGTCACAACTGCTATAAAATCTTTAATAATCAAATTTATGTTATCAGTGTAAATCATATACGGTACCAATTTTGATGCACCAGATGCGCATTTCGAGAAATTATGTCTCTTCGGTGATGCTCAAGCCGAAACCTTGGAAATCCAAAATATTTAAATAAAAAAGACTTGGAAGAGCTGAAAAAAGGTGCCAAAGACAGGAGTTAAATACGTCGAAGGATCAGAGCTATGCATGAGGGAGATAATCCTTAATTTTGAAATAAATTTCTAAATTTTACCACAGTGATTAAATATATATCCCGTATTTTCAAGCTAGGTAACTGGGCTGTAGAGACCCTCGGGGACTAACAGTCCACCAAATAATAAAAATAAATAAAATTTGACATACTAATATCCCTACCTATTTTGATTTTTGTCTGAAAATTCCTTTCAATTATATAAAATACATTTTAAAATATTAAGATAAACACAGCGTTAGGTTTTGTGTATCTCCGCCTAGCAAGAATGTTACCGACGTCGTTATGACGTTATTTTTCGGTAAGTATTTTCAGTTCATCAACATATCTTTTTAAACCTCTCGCGTACTTCTTTTTGTTAATCTTTACTGCCATTTGCTATAAACCGTCTTCTTTTGAGTTGTAGCATCAAATCACTTAAAGTTTGTCCAATTTTTTTAAGTTCTTTCCTTTTTTTATTTTATGTATTATAAATTTTATGTATCATCAAATTCAAAACGAGGGCTGAAGTAAAACATCATAACGACTTCGGTACATTCTTGCCGTGGGGCGATTGACCTGACCCAATGTTGTGTTTATTTTGATATCTAATAAAGTATTACATACATCTGAATGAAATTTTAGGTCAAAAGTCAAAATATACTGAGGTATAAGTATATAAAGTTTTGTTGAAATCCTTCGATTATCAATGATTTTATATCAGTTGTGACATGACTTTTGGATTAACCCTCGTACACGTCACTCAGTCAAAACGACACTCTCAGTATTCTTATATTTGACTGTTTTCCTTCCAGGCCCACGTCGTCTTTTTCAATGATAAGTACAAAGATGTAGGCGTCGCTAAGGACAAAGATGACGGACTGGTTGTCATTGGCATAATGGTTGAGGTAAATCTCTCACTGCATGTGTTGTGCTTTAATTTGAAGTTCACAGCAATAAGTGCAGATACTGTGCTTTTCTTTCACAATTCGATAACAGTATTTTTGATGCTTAAATATCCATCAACACAGCAAACTTGAGCATTCCATCAACAGGAAAGCAAGTCAACATGGAAAGCATGCGTTAACCACTAACTATAAAAAGAGCACTGATTAAAACTAGGGATGTCAACGAATAGTCGACTATTCGACTATTAGTCGAATATACCGAGGATCGAATAAAGAAATGACACTCGAATATTCTTATAATTAAATAAATGCAATAAAAGAGTAATAACAAGATGGAATTCTCATCACAAAATTGAGAAACTTTCCTCAAAGAGTCGATAAGATAATTTTTTTCTCAACTAAAAAAAAAAAAAACGGTTGATTTTCCATGTACGTATAGAAAGAACGATAATTACACTAGATCAAAATTTGTTTATGATGTTTTTGATATATAATTATGTTACCTTAATAAAAAATGAGACATTTAAATGTTTTAACTGATAAATAACAACAATGTTTACTGAAGCGTAACCACTTCATAGAAAAAATTAAAATCATGTCCATACCTTTTTGGTGGAATAAATTTCAATATTTTTCTTTGTGGTTTGTACTAATTAAAAACTCAGGAAAAAAGTTACACCTTATGCGGCGTTTGAGTCTTAGAAGAGCATGCTTAGGCAGCTAGTATGGTGTCTGCAGGGGATTCCTTTGAAGAAATGTGTGAAAAATTAACACAATTAAAAGATTATACATTTCTTTGATGACAAATTGTTGAAAATGAATAAACAATCATAAAATGTTTACAATAGATAGCGACGGCATTAAGTAAGCACCACACAATAACTTCAAGATTGTTCCACAAAACTGGGGCAACCGGAAGTTGGGTGGATTTGGTAGGGACACCAAGGGACTGGATGACTACTAAGCGATATGGTAGTCAATCAGGGTATATCATTTGATTTTTAAGTGGGATACTGCTCCCGTCGCAACCTCACTGACCACCATCGGTAATCACCAACTTCATATCTTGGCAAAAACTGTGCGCAGTGCACGTCGGGAAATTGGTTTTCGGACAAGAAGGTCCTTTAAGGGTCTTGACATGACACCAAAACATTTGTCAATCCAACTGTTTTGGAAAAGATGGCATATCTTATATATTAGTAACAATCAGGAAAATGATCAATTCACAAATAAGAATAATAAGTGGTGCGTTAGCAATTTTGTCTAGTGTATATATAAGTGCTTCATTACTGCGAGAATTATTTGTCACTAACGGCCTGCGTTGCTTTTGTAATAAATTTTTAATTTTAAATTTTGTAATAAATTACCCACTAATATACTGGGCTTTGTTTGTAAAAATATTTTAAATTGATCTTACACCATGTACCAATAATATTTTGTTATTTTAAGATTTCTCAAATGCAAGGAACAAATTATAGCTGTGACATGTTTTGACACGTCGATAATTAATAAAACAATTCGCTAACATTTTAAACTGTTTAAGGACGTTTTGATAGCCAGAGCAATCAATAATTAAATAAGCAGTTTCTGTTTAACAATTTCATAGGCACCTGACGTGTAAATAGTGTAAGATTAACAAACACACCCCCTCCCCCAATTTATTTCATAATAAGCCTTAAAAAATATTAGCTGGCATTTTTAATGCTTACTAAAATAAAAACTGACTGAACTGCATGTACAGATCGATTAATGATTTCTATTGATTGGGAAATCATACATATTGGAGAATAAGGTATATAAATTTATTTCACATAATCATACTATCCACGCGTAACGTTGCATCAATTTTGATGGTACTTTTTAAATATATATAAATAAAAGGGTTTTTGAGTTATACATACGTCATGTACCAGTCATGTACCAGTGAAGTTTGACTTTTTTTTCACAAAATGTTCCGAATTCGACTATCGTTCGAATGATGTAATCGAATAGTCGACTAAAGGAAAATAAATATTTTGACATCCTTAATAAAAAGCCAAGTTTCATAAATCTGTTAGATAATTAAATGTCCTGTTATTTTAAAAGAATTAAAAATAACAGAACTACTTTGAGATTTTATTTTCTAGATTGATGATGATGAAGTTCAAGAAAGTACAATGTTGAGTGAAGATCCTATTAATGAAGTACGTATTCAGACAGAAAATACGAATCAAAAGCAAATCAAATCCTGGTACGTAAGGTTTTCATTAAAAACTTAAGAGGCCTGAGTGGTTTTCCTTTGCCAACAATTGCAGACTAAGCTGGATTTTAACAAGACATGTCCGTGTGTTGGGAAGAGTGACGAGTGCTACAAGAGGTACTGCTTCTGTCGACTTAAAAAGGCCGAACTGATGAGCACATTGATGGAGAAATATTTCTACACTGTCCGTCAGTACGTCCCACCCAAAAATCAGAGTAATGTACCGTATCACACCCATCTGTCTCTTTGTTTTCTTTCTGATTAATTTTCACAGCCATATTTTAGGTATGAAATACTGTCTTCGAGAGCAAAAAACACAGTGTTAAGCATTCTTGGAGCCATGCAGAAAACCCTCATTCTACTTGGATAGTTTTTTTACTCATATTCAAAACACACACACACACACACACATACACACACACACTCTCTCTCTCTCTCTCTCTCTCTCTCTCTCTCTCTCTCTCTCTCTCTGATTTGATAGCTTTCATACTAATATTGAAAACGGTATTTTTGATGGATAACTTTATACTGGTATTGAAACAAACAACCTATTACTTCTGCTATTCATAGTCATTTTAGTGCATGGTAAATTTTTGGTCGAAATAATTGATAGTGTGCGATTATCTTCTTTGGAAAAAATGAAGTACTTTTACATTTTTTTTCATATTTTTTCAATATCAAGTCAATTATAAATACACTAAAATTGTCTTAAATATGTCATTTATGTAGCTAACCGTGAGTATGTTTATCTGACTGAGTATATTTCTCCACTGGACGTGCTACCCTACGACTGGAGCTTCTACATGTATCATGGCTCCCTCACCACGCCTCCCTGTAGCCACCACACTCGCTGGATCGTCATGCGCTGTCCAATTCGGGTCTCTCGAGAGGTATATCAATATGCTTCTATACCATGTCATCGTATTAGAAACGGATCCTCTTACTCATATGAAATGAAAACAATACTAAGTAGACGTACAGTTTGAAATCGCAGTAAGATCACATGGAACACATTTAAAATAATTATCCATCAATTCACAAGTAAGTCGCTAAGGGACATATTCAAATGCCTTTGTATTCACCAATAAGACAGTATATAAAATGTTCAAGTGATGTTTTCGAGACCTAATTAAATCGAAATTGTCTGTTATCATGGACAATCATGACGATGAGAAGCAAGTTATTAATATGGTGCAGATTCGTTAATCATTTACTTCCCCGAGAGATCAATAATTTCGATGCATGTGTTGAGAAACATAACAGTTGTGTTAGTTAACTAAGAGTTCATAAAATTAATCATCAAATGGCATCGAATGTCTACTTTAGACACTGTTTCGATATGTGAATCCTCCTTATCTACAATGCGTGTACGTGACTACGTGTCATATGTAAAATCGTGGCATGAATCTTATTCAGAACTGATCCTTCTGGCCTATAATGACTGTATATGTCATGTGAATAATCGTGATATAAATCGTACTCAGAACTGAATAATTTTTTAAATGGTTTGTCCTCATGCCAACGTATTGTTTTCCTTTATATCGACGACATTTTATCAATTACCAATATTCATATTCATTCCTAGTCCAGCTGATTCGATATCCCTTTGAACTCGAGAAAAAGACACCACAGAGTCTGACACATGTGTTTCATATCTGGATATTTTACTACCAAAAGTATTTAGTGGTAACTAACAACAAAACTTGATAAACGTGATGACTTCAACTTTTCTATTGTCACCTTTCCTTAGTTATGTAGCAATATACTATTTCCATCTGCATATGGAGTTTATGTTTCCAGCCCATTCAATACGCAAGAACATGCTCTACGTACGAACAATTGACGGATAAGTTGATTATACAAGGAAATACAACAGTTCCGCTTAAAGTTAATATTTCGCAAATTCTACGGTCGACCTTTTTAGCATATGCAATCTATCGTTAAGTCGAATATTTACTGACATTTTTCATACAAACTGTTAGGCCATTCTTTTCACACTGAATTGTGTACGTATTTTTCCGTCCGCCCGATCATGACAATGTGCACACGGCAGGTGTGACCGGTTGACGGGATGCTTACTTCTCCATCGTACCTGATCCCACCACTGATGTTTCTAGAGATCGATTTTTGTTCTGCTCCCAATCTGTATTGCTTCAATGGATATTTAAGCTTGATTGCTGTTTGTTTTCTTCATATTTCATTCCATACATTGTATTGATTACCGTGTCACCAAACTGCATTTTATCATAATTCTTTTTTTATTAAGAGATCTGAGATTTTAACAATTGTCGATTTCAGAATTAAAAGATCCTTTGTCTAGACAAAAATAAACTAGACTGCCTAGTATTTTTATCAATGAAAATAAACGCAAAATAATGGACCGATTCACTTAAACCCATAGGATTATAGTCAGTATATTCAATTGTCTTTAACTGATCCCAATAATTACAATTTCAGGCCTTTGAGATGTACAGATTGGTTCAGGACGTACATAACGTACCGCTCGTTAAGAATGGACTTCGACGGCCAACACAACATAACCGGTCACCTGTATATAGAAACTTTCACTGGTCAGATGTAGGACAAGAGACGCAATACTGCCCCGATGAAGAATAAAGTATTGTCAGAAGAAGGAAGAACTGCATCAGTCATTCATACTGAATTAAGAGTCAACTTTGATGAAAACTTTTTCCAGAAATGTCTGTCTTCAGAAATCAATAGTTCCTTCCTTTAAATATAATGAATCCATCTCCTATTATTTGAATTTTGACTTGTGGAGAAATAACGTCACTCCTATCTGCAAGCATCTGTGGTGATCATTTTATGAGATATCTGTATCCAAATCAACGCCTGCCTAGAATATTTTAACTTAAAGCTTTACATGGACAGCTTACTATACATGAACAGTATATATAAGAAAACAGACGACAAGATATCCTTATAGCGACAAAATTTGGTTTTGGAGGTCACAATCAACCAATATCACACTGAAGTTGTTGGCCTCTATCTCGGTGTATCCCGGTCTATGCTCAGCCACCAGTAAAGATCGCTACAAGTTTGGGTCATGTTTACCAATCTCTCTTTTAGAATTATCATGTTCTCTATGTTGACCTCAGATTTCTTTAACTTTCTCCGCAGGAGTTACTACTTCCTCTGGGATAATCTTGTCTAGAATCAACTTTAGGTGTATCAAGTTTCTTCAAAATCTGACTGAATTTATCCTCTTACTAATCTTTTCTGTGATGTTTCTGTTAATCTTAACTTCTTTTTCAACTTTTCTTATTTCACGTAGAAGCAAAACATAGTTCTTATGCGTATCGTACATGTAACGCATTTGAAATTTTAATCGCTCGAATCTCTAAGAAATACAAAATTTACGATAGAGTAATTTATTCTTAGATATTTTTTATTCAAATAATCATCTACACCCAAAGGGTGCTGAACACTCCCTGAAACTGAGGTGCATTAAAGAAGTTGTATGAACATTGCATTATTTGACACTTCATCAAACATCAAGAATATCCTCGACTTTTTCATGAAGAGGAATTCGTATAGATTTGGCTGTATCCCTTTTCTAATACTCTAGATAATTGTTGTTTCTTTAATTCCAGGGTCATTTACAAGACACTGTACCTCCTATCCCCACTCTCGTTATGTAACATCATGGTAGGGAAATGTCATATATCCCCTCTTGATAAGCTATTTAATTACTATTGGGATAGCTTTAAGGAGTAAACTTGGACGCCATTTGTGCCTAAAGAAGTTTTGACTGATCTAACTTTCAAAAATTTCAATAAAGTTTGCAAAGAAAACAACCTTGTAATATTATAAATATATTTAAACTATTGACTAAAGCCCAGACCATACATACATACAAAAGACTAGACTTTATATTAACATAAATCGTTTTACAAATTTAATAATTCTTACTACACACGCACGAGCACAATACAAATTTTATTATTATCTGTATACCAGAAGAATGATAAAACGTCTATATAGTTGAATGAGTAGGTTAGGAGTGCGGCTCGTTAGTAAAAGAAAACGAGAATTTAGTTAATAGAACCTAGTCATGTTACCGCCTGTCCAGTGTCTGTAAATAAAATACCACATTTACATGTACTCCTTCACATAATCGCATATACTTAAATAGCACAAGGTACATATTAATTCTGTTATCCTGGGTATCGCAGTCACGCTACATGAGTACCAAATTGGAGAGGTCTCCGTGTGGTGACTGCAATACGCCCTCTATGCCCCTTCCTCGTGGGAAGAACAACCTCTCTGGCAATGTTTTCATTGTTGGGTCTGTTTGTGAGCAGATGCTGCAGTGTGGGGTTATATGGATAGATCCGCCTTAATATGCGCACAGGTCTCTGCATATTTCTTATTGCCGGTTCCCTATAACCAGAAAAGTTGTTTCCAAACACGTCTATACGGTAACCCAGCTCCTGCCCCTCTCCTAACACTTGGTTACAGGTCATCCGGGGGTTTCTTTAGGGAAAAAAGTATTGAAAAATGAAATTTCTGTTTTGTAAGTTTTATTAGATTTAAGAGATTAAGTTTTAAAATATTTTCTGTTACTCATATAGTAAATACGGTAAAAACCATAAGTATTTCAAAGACATTACATCGGTAAGGAAATTTACATTTTGGTCTGAATGGAAAATGAAGCCTTCATTTAGTAATACAAGAGGCCCAAGGGCCTTAACGGTCACCTGAGTATCATACAACAATTTAGAGAATTCATAGAGTATAAAATGAACTAAAAGGTGAACCTTTGTTGCCCAAATGCAAGAAAAATAGGGTGATCAGGATCAACAAAATAATTAGTCTAGTATTCAATAACAGTTCATAAATTAGGTTCTAATGATCTAATCTCTTCCCCATTTATCACTCTCACCATAAGTATATTAACAAACTATCAGTGCTTCTGTAATATTTTAATTCCTTGTTGAAATCTCTTACATTAGCCTCTCTTGGTCTTTGATGAACATTTCATAAGACAAGTTATCTTTGTCTCATTTTTATTTATCTACTACTTACAAGTCTACCTGATCATTAAAACTAAGAAAGTACTTTTTGTATTATACAATAACAATTCTTAAATAATTCTCCTATTCTATTAACCTTTCAAGTACATTATTTACAGTGATTAATTATCAAAAGTAAATGGCAAAGGGGAATAACTCCTCTCAGTAGAATACAAATTAATAAGCCCTGGCCAGGACCAGAACACTTGAACAAATGGTCCAGATGTTCAAAAATCTGGTAAAAATACCCTTCCTTATTAAAACTTTTACTCTTTTTGCCTCTGATATGCCCAGGTGCAGAGAAAATTTTAAAGAAATAATGCACTTTTACTACAGATTCACTATATTCACTATATTATCAATAGACCCCCCCCCCCCCCCCCACCGAGAAACACCAGCGCCTCTCACCCTGGGACCAGAAGTTTGCTCATCATAAGTAATCACTTTGTTTGTCTGCTTAACACTAAGAGCAGACAGGATTATTTAATAGAATTAATGCATTTTCACTATATTATCAAGAGCCCCACCCTTACACCAGCACATCTGACCCAGGGGGTCATGAAATTTACTACTCTGGAAGAAGCACTCTTGCTCATCATAACTATACACTTAGCTTCTTTGCTTTTTAACCAGAATATTTTCAAAGAAATTTTGCTTTTTCGCTATATAATCAATAGAGCCCCCCCCCCCTTTTTCACCAGAACCCTTGATCCTGGGAGCCTGAAATTCACAATTTTGGAAGAGGCATCCTTGCATATCATAACAATGTACTTAGTTTATTTAAATAATACCCAGGGGCAGAGAAGAAGATTCTCAAAGAAATAATTCACCTTCACTATAGGATCTATATAGCCCCACCCTAGCACCAGAACCCCTGTCCCTGGGGCCATGAATTTAACAATTTTGGAAGAGGCATCCTTGCTTATCATAACAATGTATTCAATTTGTTTAAATAATAACCAGGAGTAGAGAAGAAGATTTTCAAAGAAATTTTGCTTTTTCACTATATAATCAATAGAGCCCCCCCCCCCTTTTCACCAGAACCCCTGACCCTGGGGCCATGAATTTCACAAATTTGGTAGAGTCAGCCTATCATAACTATGTATTTAATTTGTTTAAATAATACCTGTGAGTAGAGAAGAAGATTTTCAAAGAAATTTTGCTTTCTCAATATATAATTAATAGAGCCCCCCCCCCCCACCTTTTCACCAGAACCCTTGATCCTGGGGCCATGAAATTCATAATTTTGGAAGAGGCATCCTTGCGTATCATAACTATGTATTTGATTTGTTTAAATAATAACCAGGAGTAGAGAAGAAGATTTTCAAAGAAATTTTGCTTTTTCACTATATGATCTATGTAGCCCTGTCCTAGCACCAGAACCCCTTTCCCTGGGGCAATGAATTTCACAATTTTGGTACAGTCACTCTTGCTAATCATAACTATGTATTCAATTTGTTTAAATAATAACCACGAGTAGAGAAGAAGATTTTCAAAGAAATTTTGCTTTCTCACCATATAATCAATAGAGCCACCCCCCCCCCCCCCACACACACACACACACACACCTTTTCACCAGAACCCTTGACCCTGGGGCCATGAAATTCATAATTTTGGAAGAGGCATCCTTGCGTATCATAACTATGTATTTAATTTGCTTAAATAATACCCAGGGGCAGAGAAGAAGATTTTTAAAGAAATAATGCACTTTCAGTATATGATCTATATAGCCCCGCCCTAGCACCAGAACCCCTTACCCTGGGGCAATGAATTTCACAATTTTGGTACAGTCACCCTTGCTAATCATAACTATGTATTCAATTTGTTTAAATAATAACCAGGAGTAGAGAAGAAGATTTTCAAAGAAATTTTGCTTTTTCACTATATAATCAATAGAGCACCCCCCCCCCAACCTTTTCACCAGAACCCCTGACCCTGGGGCCATGAATTTCACAATTTTGGTAGAGTCATCCTTGCTTATCATAACTATGTGTTCAATTTGTTTCAATAATACCCAGGAGTAGAGAAGAAGATTTTCAAAGAAATAATGCACTTTCACTATATGATCTATATAACCCCGCCCTAGCACCAGAACCCCTGACCCTGGGGCCATGAATTTCACAATTTTGGTAGAGTCACCCTTGCTTATCATAACTATGTATTCAATTTGTTTCAATAATACCCAGGAGTAAAGAAGAAGATTTTCAAAGAAATAATGCACTTTCAGTATATGATCTATATAGCCCCGCCCTAGCACCAGAACCCCTGACCCTGGGGCCATGAATTTCACAATTTTGGTAGAGGGCTCAATGCTTATTACAATCATGCCAACAGTTTGACTCCTTGTTGTCCAGGAGTAAAGAAGAAGATTTTTAAAGATTGCATTAATTTTAGTGGTTTTAGCCCCACCCCTCAGGCCCCAGGGGGGCAGGGACCGTGAAATTCACAAATTTTGTTTCCCTTCACACATAGATGCTATATGCCAAAATTGGCTGAAATTGGTTCAGCGGTTTCAGAGAAGAAGCTGAAAATGTTCAAATGTTAACACACGACGCACGACGGACGACGGACGACGCACGACGA